CCGCGTCGCTTCCTATCACTAACACCTGCGACAGCTGCTAAACACACACTACTTCACTTCAAGAAGTCTCACTCAAGCACCTGGGTCAGCACGAAACGACGAAACACTGATCACTTCGGCGAAACGATTAGTCGAGGTAGGCGAGACAGGCGGGAGCAGACTTCGGCGGCCATGAAAGAATGGCGAAGCTTTGTTTGTATGAATCCAAACGGAAGTGCCCGTCTTGTAAACCTTTTGTAAAGAATAATAACTCTCATCACATGGGTTATTCTTTAAACGTAAAAATATGCCGCTCAAAAGGAAATTGCAACGAATAACAAAGGTTTAACAACCACGATCTAAGCTGTCAATCAAACTCTTAGCCAATGAGATCCTTTTGGGATTGACGTCACATAATCACAACTTCGTGGCGCGCGATTTAAAACGGGCGAAATAGCCGCAAACTAAAATCAGTCTCACGCAATAAATATTGCTGTAAAAAATGTTTTTTCTCGCGGAAAAATTGTTTTTTGACATGCTTGTCCCAATTAGGCTCTTTAAAAAAAAACTTTTTTTTCTTTGCAGTTACCCTTTAAGACAGCAGGTGTGAAAGTTGTTTCTAACGAATGAAGAAATAATGCTGTACGGTATTTCCAATATTGGACCCAAAATGTTGTGTTATAGCGGGCTGTGCAAAGTGCAGATTTGGGCACACAGGTGCTTGGACTTGACAGTAACATGACACAGCACTTATTATACAAAAAAAAAAAAACGGTGGCACAGGGAAATTAGGTGAAAATTTGGTTTGGGCGGCGTAACTCAATGGGAACCGGTTTTGACCATGAAAAGGCTGTCAAGAGAATACTACTGATCGGGGGAGGTGGAGACTTTAATAATAATAATAATAATAATAATAATAATAATAATAATTTTATTTGCACATACTGGAATGGGCACATGTGGTGGTGTGCGGGGCTAGGCAGATAGGTGAAAAACCCTTACGCAGAGCGCCTGCCAGCCCGCCACCACATATGAAAAAACATAACAGACATATATATGTACAGAATATACACAATACAGAAAGTACATGCAAAGGAAAGAAAAGAAGGTGGGAAACAAGTAAGGCATTATGACGAGGATGCCAGCTGCATCCCATACATCGAGGTAGGAAGGGACTAGTGGACTGTACTTCCAATTGAAACAACTTTACGAAAGGTGGTTCCATAGCCGAGAAAACGAAGTTGTCGGCCAACACACGGTTTGGCCGCCAAGGGCTTTTGCGGTCAGCTGTTGTGTAATAACCTGTTGTGCGAGGTGCTGATTCTCCGCCCACAGGTACTTTGACATGGCCGTCACTTGGCACAACACTTATTGTAACAAAAATAGTTGGCATAGCGAAACCAGGTGGAAATTTAGTTTGGGCGGCGTAACTAAATGGGAACTGGCTTTGACCGTCAAAGGCTGTCAGAAAATACCACTCATCGTGGGAAGTGCACACTTTGCAGGTAGGAAGGGACCAGTGGACGGTATTTCCAGTTCGAACCACTTTGCGATAGGTGGCTCTAAAGCCGAGAAAAAAATTGTTGTTAACAGAACTCGGGGTGTCAGTGTTTCCACATCCAAAAGGAGGCTGATCAAGAAAGAAAGCACACCACATAAACTTCCATACTTAAACGCCGATTCTCCAGTGATTCCGAGTTTCATGGTTGTTTTCTTTAGATTTATATTTGTCGCTTTTTTTACCGTTCAAATCTTTCTTCATGAAGTACAGATTGCGTGCCATATTTGTCCGGAAATATCATCGACACGTACGATGGGGACGAAACTTCTTTGGAGGGCATTCCTCCAACGAAATTGGCACTGCATACCCGCGAGTGTGGGATGGCATTTCAGTTCGTCCCATCGGCGCTGACACATGTAGGCGTTACTGGTACGAAAACAAACTCAGAGCGCAAAGCGGCAGTGTAGAATATGTCAGCCGTGCCGACACAGTGGCAGACATGATCGGGACACCAAATTTCTCGCGTCGTATGGCGCGGCTCCATCGTTGTCGCTGTCCCACAAAACATCGGTGAGGTGAAAAACTGTGAAACTTTGTCTCCACGAGATACGACGCATAACTATTGAAGCACTTAATGACGCAGCACAGGCAGCACTTCATGCTGTGAACCCAGCGCAAAACCACCACTCCGACTTACATGTGTACAGTGCTAATCACACTTGTCTATAACGCGCGAGCGTGCGGCTTTCTCCGGGGAGCGCTAGACTGGTGGCATTAGCGGAAAGTAAGCTAGTCACGTGGTGCAACATGGAACGGCCCGTTCGAGGGGTGTCCTGCCCACTCTATCAGCTTTATAAGCGATAAAAGTGAAGTGGGTTATGATATATTTTTTTGTTTTTTGATGACGACATCGTCGATACGCCTTCATGCTTCAGTTTGTTTATTGTTCGAGCAGTGACATTTGTAAAAAGCGTGCAAGCCGCCTTCCGCGTTCGCCGCCAGCTGATAGAGTGGGCAGGAGACCCCTCGAGCGGGCCGTTCCATGTTGCGCCACGTGACTAGCTTAGTTTCCGGGAATGCCACCAGTCTAGCGCTCCCCGGAGAAAGCCGCACGCTCGCGCGTTATAGACAAGTGTGATTAGCACTGTACCAACGTACGCGGCGTGGTTTCGGTTTCGTTTTCTCTGGGGTGCTCACTGCCTACCTTCGGTACCAGCCGCGTGGCGGCGCGCCAGTCGCGTCGCACGGAGTGTTAGGGGAGTACATACAAGGAGACAAGGTCACAATTGTGTAATCTTTTGAATAAATTTTCTTTAAGAGGAGTTTTATTATATATTAGCTACATCTCGTATGTTAGTCTATGTCAACAGGTGCGCTTCTAAGTTGGCCCAAAATAACTGTAGGGTAGTGGAATTTACGACATTTTGCAGCAAATTATTTCATTAATTAATGGCTAGGGAGAAGGAAGAAAACTTAAAGGACAACTCTGCTCAATTCCAAAGATTTCGGGATAATGAGTGATTTCGAATTAAAAAGCCCTAGTAAGAGACACTACGCCGTTTGCTTCGCGAATAATGGGATATATATTTTTAAATCTAATTTTAAACACCCGCGGAAATCGAAACCGAAACTTCGGCTCCGTCCAGCAACATTTGCATCGGGCCGCCAAGAACATGGCCATCACGTGGTACGAGATGTCACGTGATCCTCGGCCCAGCGACGGGCGGGCGTGTGCCAGGCGCGAGCGTCGTCTGCACTGCACTCTTCACCACGGTTTGCTGTCTTCGACATTCGAAGACGTCTGCACAACTGCGGCATAATTCTGCGCACGTGGTGTCCGTAGTGTGGACGAAACTCAGAGAGTCAATAATCACAAAAAGTAAGACGACGACGGCGGTTGTGACGCGGAAGACGGCGGTAACGGCGGGACCACGGCGGGCGTCCGGACGGCTCCCACGAAGCGCGCTGCGCAGGCGCGTTACGCCAATCACGTGGACACCGCTGAGCGCCGGGAGGAAGCGTTGCTGACGTCATGCGCTACGCTCGCCCGGAGAAGTAAAAACAAGCAAAAGGGGGCCATGATAATGACGTTTAGCTCAATGTTGGCTCCGCCCATGCCGTAGCCTTGACTGCGCTGTTAGTTGCGCCTGAATTCGCCCGCTCGAGTCCGCCGATTTCGGGAACTTGGCGAATTGCAAAGTTTGCCGGCCGTTTAAGAGACATTTAGACAGAACTGCATCGTAATATTTGACGTCTGGTCTTCCTAGGTGATACTAAAGAGGACTGCATAGTTTTTTCAAAACCAAAAATGAAGCGGAGTTGCTCTTTAAAGCAATTATTGTGGGATGGCAACTCTTCGAAAAGTTTACCGTGATTATACCTTGTTGATAGTTTACTAGTAGGGATGAAGTAATTTTCTTGGGGAATAATGAAGTTGTTTGCTAATTCATATAAAAACTTGAGCCATGCAATTTGTGCCTCTTTCTCTAGAGGTAGATCCAGTTGTCTGCAGAGTTCTAACATTATCAACTTGTGTAACATCCAAGTTACCATGAAGACTTTTTGTTTTTCAGAAACTATTTGACACAACACCATGTAGCTGTATAGGATTCCCTTTTTAAAGGGAAACTGAACTGGGCTTAGATTTTGTTTTTATTGCATGAATTCAATTGATATTGGCCTAAGCATCATAGAAAACAAGAGAAAAAGGGGGCTGTCAATATGTTTGGTTACATTTTTAATAGGAAAATTGTACAATTGCATTATTGGGTTTTCTGGGATGCCTAGGATATATATACAGATTTTGCACCATAAAACAACGATCTCATAAATGCACTTCAGTGCCCTTTTAAATAAACATTAGATTCCATTCGTGTGGTTTAGAATAAAAAAAAAATGAAAGGCGTTTACAACTTCCTGTAACGCCGATTTAGAGCGCATCTCTTGAGGAGGAGTGGAGGGTACTGAAGGGAGGGTATGCCCCTCCTTCTCCTTCTCTCCCTCTTCCTTCTTTCATATGCGAAACGTGCGTCGTCACGCGACGTTTCGGCGCGGTGCCAAAACGTCACCGTGTTGAAACGTCACGAGTGACATTTCGGCACCACACCGAAATGTCGCGTGATAATTCGGCGTGGTGCATTATGGGGCGTTTCTTATAATGCACCGCGCGGTGACGCCGACCATGATGCCAACGGCGACGCCGCTCAAGCCGAAAACGGGCGCCTAAGAGCTGCGCTCTAAAAATCTTAAAAAGGCATGATTAAAAAAAAAAAGCTACAAAATTGAGGAAATGGGCCACAATGCACTATAACTGGTTTCCAACTCTGCTTGCCTATTTTTTCATTGTTTTGACCAGTAAGCTTCAAACATTCATATTACAAAATGGGTGTTTCGTAGTACAAATGCACTAAAAGTTGGCAGTATCGGCTGGCTGCCTTTTACCAATTTTGTTTTGTTCTTTCTTAATCATGCACAAGCCCATATAAATTCTGTTGACAGAGAAACGAAAAGAGACAGGTGCTTTCCCTAGAACAGGTTTAATAAAAATCATTGCAGCATCAGCTGCTGACAGTAAGAGCCAGGTCATTGCACTAGTGAGCACTCAAATTTTCATTATCACAGTCAGAATTGATTCTGTTTTGTACATCATACTTCTGTGTAGGCAAGAAAGAATGATAGGTGCTGTCTTATTTCTTGACATGAAGATCTCCCATAAGCTTTTCATAATGCTGAAAAAAAGAATGAAAAAGCATGCTTGCATAAAGAAGATATTGACATAACTATACAGTGCAACTGACTTATAACAATACCCAGTGGAGTACCAACTTGTTTTTGAGTGGGGCAAACTATAACAATTAGTTCCCAGAGTTTTTAGACAAGGAATCCTCAGTTTCTGTTATAATGAATGAATTTTTGGGATTTCTCATTATCGTGACAAGTGGATTGTACTGTATAATACAAGCAAAAAATGCAACTGAGCAAGTTGTTTTGTTAATATTTTATTAGCAAAACAGATTTTATTAGCTTCATCAATACATAATCAAATACAGCCACATCCTGTTAATACAGACGCCATTCTTAAGGATACTCCGCTATAGAAAAAAATTGTAGAGCCCTTCCACTTCATGTGAAGATTTAGGACCAGCGAAGCTGTTATTTTTACTACCTCAAGGACGACTTCTAAAACGACCTCGAGGACGACACCTAGGACGACCTCAAGGACAACTTCTAGGACAACCTTGAGTATGGCACCTAGAGGACGATGCTTAGGACGATCTCAAGAACAACCTTGAGGTTGACTATTTGGATGACCTCGAAGACAACGTCTAGGACGACCTCTTGGACGACCTCCAAAACGACTTCTAGAACGACCTTAAGGACGACCCCAAGGACGATTTCTAGGACGACCTCAAGGACGATGCCTAGGACGACCTCTCAGACGACCTCAAGCACAACTCCTAGGGCGGCTTCAAGGATGATGCCTAAAGATGATAACAAGGGATCAGGACCTCACTATCTAATAATGCCAAGCAAGGCTGACTCACGCTGGTTGCCCCCTCTTCTTATTTTTATTTATTCATACTTGCCACGACCAATAGGGAAGTTTTCTGTCAACATCTGTGGACACATTTTTTCCCAGATCCTAGCGCATAACAGCTTCGCTGTAAAAATTGTTACCGACAAATTGGGTAAATACATTATTTTTGTCTCGTTATTGTGGACGACTCACATTATGATTGATATCCATAATAATGAGACATTGCTGTACTACAGGAAAACTTACTTGAAAGGAAACTTGTAAGCCACACCCTATGGGCATGCTAAGAAAGGTATACCAACAATCTAATCCCCGTTGTTCTGGTTCTGTGCCGGAGAATGTACCAAGGTGCTACCGACCTTTAAGATGGCCATGTCACAGTTGCTGAGCTGCTTCTGTTTGGAAAAGGCCTTGGAGTCTGCCTTGCGCCCACAGCTCGATAACAGGATCCAGGTGTGTGCAGTGTACTCTATGTCGGAGAGGATGCTGCAAACGAGCATGAAATTATTCTGCCTGCATTCTAGGCTTCTGTTACACTGCATGAGCACCTAGGGCATAAAAGATGACATAGGCACCATCAATATACTAGAGCATAAAGAAAAAATGTTAGGACTCTGGTACAATGATATAGGACCAGTTAGATAATGATAAGCACAAAAAAAAAAAATCACTGACACAGTAGCACAAGCATTTTGGAATTCCCGAAATAAGAAGCAATATTCTTTGCTGAGTGAGACACGGCAAAATGTACCAGCATAAAGATGCAGCTTTAGAAAGTGCCGGTTGCAAGAGTGCATGCGTTCAAAGCAGCAATGTACCTGATGACATACCATAAAATATTACGCATGCGCCCATGTCACAATAAATGCCAGCTTTTCAAGCATTTAAAAAAAAAATCATTGAAGGATGCTCTCTCCCCCATTTGCCCTCTCCCCCATTTTAAGCAAGTTCGAAAATACACGAGGGATATATAGAATGCCCAGTCACCATGGGCGGTCGTTATTTCAGTGACCAGTGTACAGCACCGGCATAACAAAGGTGAAGAAGAAAGAGGATGAGGGGTGCAGAGTCAAAAGGAGGTAGAAACTGATGATAACAGACAGACTGCTCCTTTCCTCCAACTCAGAAGAGTCATTCGAAGACTTTAGTAACAAGGACCAGACGGTGAGTAACCGACCCCTTTTTAAATTTTTCTCCATAAACTATTTACCCCATTTACTCACCTAATGAATGCACTCCCCAGAAAAATTCTCAATACTGAACTTTTTTTCCACTCTGCCACCAAGTCAATTAATTTACCAAGTGGCCAGGCCAAGCTGAGCCAAATTACCTAAGCGTGGCAGCACGCGGATGCGGGTTAGGGCTACAAGAGGGAAATTGCAAAGTGACCAACAGTGTAATCGCACGGCGCACGTGGTCAACAAAACTGAGGCACATTCCTCAAAAATGCGTCCGTCGGACACATCGATTTCAACAAACGTGCCGTGGTCTGTGGTTCGTTTTCGGACGGTGAAGTTGTGAAAGTGGTTAGGCCCAGGAACGGTCGCGTCGCTTTGAGTCGAGTAGCACCGAAGCAAAAACTGCGTTGAGCGTCGTAAGGCGCCTTTTTTTCAGCACAAATAATGCCGACGCTCTGTTTTTAAGCGTGAGCGCTCTCGTTTAGCTAGGCAAACGACTGCCATTCTGAATTCGGTGGTCAGGCCAAGGGCCCACCCGACCGAGTTTTTCACTCTCAAACCTAGCAAGCGCCCGTCCCCCAGTTTTCTGCGGTGAACTCCCAATTACGAGTGGGCACCTGCTAGGCATTTTACGGCACTCACACTTGTGCCTCCCCAGTATCGCGCCAAATATTTATCAGCTAACTTGTTAAAGCAATTGTTGAGCTAGATTTCAGTTTACACTGAATTCTAACAAATAATTAGCGACACTGACAGTCCGGATGTACTATCGGGGAAAAATGAAATGCGAACAGAGGAGCGCGTGGCTCGCGGTACAGGTTGCGCCGCCTGGAAGTGAGCCTAGGAGCGAGGCTGCGTGGCCTACTCCGACGTGTTCACGCCCCTCCCTCTGCGCTCCCCAAGCTTCAGCAGTGCGCCTCTTAGTGCGCTGAAAGCTATCACCGCTATCTTTGCTGGCTCAGCGCGTGCGGTGCAAAGAAGCTCGGCGCACTCGGGAACTTGGCGAATTGCAAAGTTTGCCGGCCGTTTAAGAGACATTTAGACAGAACTGCATCGTAATATTTGACGTCTGGTCTTCCTAGGTGATACTAAAGAGGACTGCATAGTTTTTTCAAAACCAAAAATGAAGCGGAGTTGCTCTTTAAAGCAATTATTGTGGGATGGCAACTCTTCGAAAAGTTTACCGTGATTATACCTTGTTGATAGTTTACTAGTAGGGATGAAGTAATTTTCTTGGGGAATAATGAAGTTGTTTGCTAATTCATATAAAAACTTGAGCCATGCAATTTGTGCCTCTTTCTCTAGAGGTAGATCCAGTTGTCTGCAGAGTTCTAACATTATCAACTTGTGTAACATCCAAGTTACCATGAAGACTTTTTGTTTTTCAGAAACTATTTGACACAACACCATGTAGCTGTATAGGATTCCCTTTTTAAAGGGAAACTGAACTGGGCTTAGATTTTGTTTTTATTGCATGAATTCAATTGATATTGGCCTAAGCATCATAGAAAACAAGAGAAAAAGGGGGCTGTCAATATGTTTGGTTACATTTTTAATAGGAAAATTGTACAATTGCATTATTGGGTTTTCTGGGATGCCTAGGATATATATACAGATTTTGCACCATAAAACAACGATCTCATAAATGCACTTCAGTGCCCTTTTAAATAAACATTAGATTCCATTCGTGTGGTTTAGAATAAAAAAAAAATGAAAGGCGTTTACAACTTCCTGTAACGCCGATTTAGAGCGCATCTCTTGAGGAGGAGTGGAGGGTACTGAAGGGAGGGTATGCCCCTCCTTCTCCTTCTCTCCCTCTTCCTTCTTTCATATGCGAAACGTGCGTCGTCACGCGACGTTTCGGCGCGGTGCCAAAACGTCACCGTGTTGAAACGTCACGAGTGACATTTCGGCACCACACCGAAATGTCGCGTGATAATTCGGCGTGGTGCATTATGGGGCGTTTCTTATAATGCACCGCGCGGTGACGCCGACCATGATGCCAACGGCGACGCCGCTCAAGCCGAAAACGGGCGCCTAAGAGCTGCGCTCTAAAAATCTTAAAAAGGCATGATTAAAAAAAAAAAGCTACAAAATTGAGGAAATGGGCCACAATGCACTATAACTGGTTTCCAACTCTGCTTGCCTATTTTTTCATTGTTTTGACCAGTAAGCTTCAAACATTCATATTACAAAATGGGTGTTTCGTAGTACAAATGCACTAAAAGTTGGCAGTATCGGCTGGCTGCCTTTTACCAATTTTGTTTTGTTCTTTCTTAATCATGCACAAGCCCATATAAATTCTGTTGACAGAGAAACGAAAAGAGACAGGTGCTTTCCCTAGAACAGGTTTAATAAAAATCATTGCAGCATCAGCTGCTGACAGTAAGAGCCAGGTCATTGCACTAGTGAGCACTCAAATTTTCATTATCACAGTCAGAATTGATTCTGTTTTGTACATCATACTTCTGTGTAGGCAAGAAAGAATGATAGGTGCTGTCTTATTTCTTGACATGAAGATCTCCCATAAGCTTTTCATAATGCTGAAAAAAAGAATGAAAAAGCATGCTTGCATAAAGAAGATATTGACATAACTATACAGTGCAACTGACTTATAACAATACCCAGTGGAGTACCAACTTGTTTTTGAGTGGGGCAAACTATAACAATTAGTTCCCAGAGTTTTTAGACAAGGAATCCTCAGTTTCTGTTATAATGAATGAATTTTTGGGATTTCTCATTATCGTGACAAGTGGATTGTACTGTATAATACAAGCAAAAAATGCAACTGAGCAAGTTGTTTTGTTAATATTTTATTAGCAAAACAGATTTTATTAGCTTCATCAATACATAATCAAATACAGCCACATCCTGTTAATACAGACGCCATTCTTAAGGATACTCCGCTATAGAAAAAAATTGTAGAGCCCTTCCACTTCATGTGAAGATTTAGGACCAGCGAAGCTGTTATTTTTACTACCTCAAGGACGACTTCTAAAACGACCTCGAGGACGACACCTAGGACGACCTCAAGGACAACTTCTAGGACAACCTTGAGTATGGCACCTAGAGGACGATGCTTAGGACGATCTCAAGAACAACCTTGAGGTTGACTATTTGGATGACCTCGAAGACAACGTCTAGGACGACCTCTTGGACGACCTCCAAAACGACTTCTAGAACGACCTTAAGGACGACCCCAAGGACGATTTCTAGGACGACCTCAAGGACGATGCCTAGGACGACCTCTCAGACGACCTCAAGCACAACTCCTAGGGCGGCTTCAAGGATGATGCCTAAAGATGATAACAAGGGATCAGGACCTCACTATCTAATAATGCCAAGCAAGGCTGACTCACGCTGGTTGCCCCCTCTTCTTATTTTTATTTATTCATACTTGCCACGACCAATAGGGAAGTTTTCTGTCAACATCTGTGGACACATTTTTTCCCAGATCCTAGCGCATAACAGCTTCGCTGTAAAAATTGTTACCGACAAATTGGGTAAATACATTATTTTTGTCTCGTTATTGTGGACGACTCACATTATGATTGATATCCATAATAATGAGACATTGCTGTACTACAGGAAAACTTACTTGAAAGGAAACTTGTAAGCCACACCCTATGGGCATGCTAAGAAAGGTATACCAACAATCTAATCCCCGTTGTTCTGGTTCTGTGCCGGAGAATGTACCAAGGTGCTACCGACCTTTAAGATGGCCATGTCACAGTTGCTGAGCTGCTTCTGTTTGGAAAAGGCCTTGGAGTCTGCCTTGCGCCCACAGCTCGATAACAGGATCCAGGTGTGTGCAGTGTACTCTATGTCGGAGAGGATGCTGCAAACGAGCATGAAATTATTCTGCCTGCATTCTAGGCTTCTGTTACACTGCATGAGCACCTAGGGCATAAAAGATGACATAGGCACCATCAATATACTAGAGCATAAAGAAAAAATGTTAGGACTCTGGTACAATGATATAGGACCAGTTAGATAATGATAAGCACAAAAAAAAAAAATCACTGACACAGTAGCACAAGCATTTTGGAATTCCCGAAATAAGAAGCAATATTCTTTGCTGAGTGAGACACGGCAAAATGTACCAGCATAAAGATGCAGCTTTAGAAAGTGCCGGTTGCAAGAGTGCATGCGTTCAAAGCAGCAATGTACCTGATGACATACCATAAAATATTACGCATGCGCCCATGTCACAATAAATGCCAGCTTTTCAAGCATTTAAAAAAAAAATCATTGAAGGATGCTCTCTCCCCCATTTGCCCTCTCCCCCATTTTAAGCAAGTTCGAAAATACACGAGGGATATATAGAATGCCCAGTCACCATGGGCGGTCGTTATTTCAGTGACCAGTGTACAGCACCGGCATAACAAAGGTGAAGAAGAAAGAGGATGAGGGGTGCAGAGTCAAAAGGAGGTAGAAACTGATGATAACAGACAGACTGCTCCTTTCCTCCAACTCAGAAGAGTCATTCGAAGACTTTAGTAACAAGGACCAGACGGTGAGTAACCGACCCCTTTTTAAATTTTTCTCCATAAACTATTTACCCCATTTACTCACCTAATGAATGCACTCCCCAGAAAAATTCTCAATACTGAACTTTTTTTCCACTCTGCCACCAAGTCAATTAATTTACCAAGTGGCCAGGCCAAGCTGAGCCAAATTACCTAAGCGTGGCAGCACGCGGATGCGGGTTAGGGCTACAAGAGGGAAATTGCAAAGTGACCAACAGTGTAATCGCACGGCGCACGTGGTCAACAAAACTGAGGCACATTCCTCAAAAATGCGTCCGTCGGACACATCGATTTCAACAAACGTGCCGTGGTCTGTGGTTCGTTTTCGGACGGTGAAGTTGTGAAAGTGGTTAGGCCCAGGAACGGTCGCGTCGCTTTGAGTCGAGTAGCACCGAAGCAAAAACTGCGTTGAGCGTCGTAAGGCGCCTTTTTTTCAGCACAAATAATGCCGACGCTCTGTTTTTAAGCGTGAGCGCTCTCGTTTAGCTAGGCAAACGACTGCCATTCTGAATTCGGTGGTCAGGCCAAGGGCCCACCCGACCGAGTTTTTCACTCTCAAACCTAGCAAGCGCCCGTCCCCCAGTTTTCTGCGGTGAACTCCCAATTACGAGTGGGCACCTGCTAGGCATTTTACGGCACTCACACTTGTGCCTCCCCAGTATCGCGCCAAATATTTATCAGCTAACTTGTTAAAGCAATTGTTGAGCTAGATTTCAGTTTACACTGAATTCTAACAAATAATTAGCGACACTGACAGTCCGGATGTACTATCGGGGAAAAATGAAATGCGAACAGAGGAGCGCGTGGCTCGCGGTACAGGTTGCGCCGCCTGGAAGTGAGCCTAGGAGCGAGGCTGCGTGGCCTACTCCGACGTGTTCACGCCCCTCCCTCTGCGCTCCCCAAGCTTCAGCAGTGCGCCTCTTAGTGCGCTGAAAGCTATCACCGCTATCTTTGCTGGCTCAGCGCGTGCGGTGCAAAGAAGCTCGGCGCACTCGCCGAGCAGGCAAAGATAGCGGTGACAGCTTTCAGCGCACTGAGAGGCGCACTGCCGAAGCTGGGGGAGCGCCAATCGAGGGGCGTGAACACATCGAAGTAGGCCCCGCACCCTCGCCCCTAGGTTCACTTCCAGGCGGCGCAGCCTGTACCGGGAGCCACGTGCTCCTCTGTTCGCATTTCATTTTTCCCCGATAGTACATCTGCCTGTATGCTCTGTACAATTTGTCTAACTATTTTATTTGGAATGAGACTTCAGCAGATCTGCAATGCAATACACTTTTGGTGATAAATTGTGTGCAAGACAATAACATCTATCTGGCAGGCATTGAAGGTCCTCAATGGCCTATTCATATATTTTTGTTTGCAAGCAAAGGCAATTGTGAAACCTAAATTACTTATTGACTTTGTATATTTATGATACACACAAGCAATAACCTACAAAACTGAAGAACAGAATTGGGCGAAAACCCCGAAATTAACCAATCGGTTCATCTCATGCGTTGTTGCAATCCATTGACAATAAAAAGAAAAAAAGAAATCCTTGTGGCAAGCACCAGTAAGCCATCCAGAGCATTGAAACGAAGACTGTGACGATATAGGGTCGGTGAGCACTCCTTCTGTGTAGAACCATCAGCATTGCAGCAGACAAAAGCTATAACTCTCTTTCTGCTAATGTTTTGCTGCTACACTTGCCACATTGATAAGCTGTAATCTTTCCTTCCTTGAACGTCAATCTATCCTTCCTTCAATGTGAAACTAATGTGTATCAATGTTTTTGAAAGCTAAATGCTATTTGATTGCTGGATGATGTCAAGGAAGTTTTTCTAACAGCATAGTGAACCCAGAACACAGCTTCCATAAAAATAAATTGAAATGGCACTGCATACCATACCATGAAAAAGTACAGTTTAAAAAGCCAGGGCTGACTCGATTCCCCTGGTCAGCATACGCACCTCCCAATGACCGCAAGCAGAGCTTCACTTTCATCTAGTAGTCGTATCCTTTGGCTCGCTTGTTTCAGTAAAGAACCCTACAGAAGTGAGGAGACCATTGGCAAAAAAAACAGTGTAAGAGAGAAATAAGACACTGGAACTGAAATAGCATCCTCTCTTTCAAGGGTTTTACCAGACAGCAAAAATAAGTAAGCAAAAATAAGCACAAAGCACACACACGTTTACATAGACTAAAAATAAGAAAAGGCATTGTTAAAAAATGCTGAATTTTATGTTTTCCGTTCTTGTTTTATTGGAGGGTCTTATCCCATTTAAGAAATTTCTACCCCTACATTCAGCCTGCGAAATATACAGTTCACAACAATGGTCCTCAAATAAGGGTCCATGGTCACTTCAGGGTCCGTCCGTGAAAGAACTTTTAGAGTACATATATGAAACCCTCGGTCCTCGGTCAAGCTAAGCAATAAAACTTATTTTTTGTCATATAGGGTTCTTGCACGAGACCATGATGCAACGCTACTGCCAGCTTGCTTATCTCACCAAAACCTGCCGGAATCCGTGTTGGAGGCATCCATTGCCGGTATGCTATGTTTTGTGTTCTTTGGGGCCGTGTTCGCGCTGTAGTTTGTCCGCTCACTCGAGGTTTAAAACGGTCAGTTGAGCTGTGATTAATTGTTCCAGCCGTAAAAGTCAGCAACAAAATGGAGCTCGAGCGTACAAGACAATGCTTGAGCAATCGGTTTGCCGGCGTCATGAAAGGCTCCAACGAATATGCCGGCATAATCTCGACAGAAAAGCCTTGTTTCACTAAGGGTTGGTGGACTGCACCTTGTGTTAAGGCTTACGGTATTCACATTGTGCATCTTTTCAACACGCTTTAGCAAAAACGAGATTTTGCAAAATCAGCCTGTTTATATCGCACAGTCTGATGCGCGAAACCTGTGACGTATTGACTCTTGCCAAACCTTGCCATTTGCACCAAGAATATCAAGCGTTTCGCATCAAAATTATATTAAGTACCCACATTGTGAAGATACAGGTTCTGCTTTATTATTACCACTCCATAAACTTCGTCACGTATGGCTCACTGGGTTCACTAGGCCTGCCAAACCCAGGAATGACTGCAAACATCAAAGAACAGGCGTATGATCTCCAAGTATTTCGGACATTTTTGCACCAATAAAAGTTAAGTTATCCCCAGTTATCATGTTTACATGCGGTGCTTGCACTCAGCGCAACTGTTGATGAATCTTCACCGCGCCACCAACCCGTGCTGCTAACCAATCATGCCCACACGCAACGCGTACGCACTGCTTCTCCGCTTGTCGCCCGTTGCCATGCCTGTTTTCTCTTTTCGGCTTTGGCTTGAATACGGGATCGGCCAAAAATCAGTCTCCTCCAAAAGCTCGCTCCGCCTTGAAGGTCAGACGTCAGAGCGATGTCGAGCGGCCATTGGCAGCATCCGCGTTTCTCCTTCTGGTGACTGACAGGTCTCGGTGAGGTTTCAGCAAAATATTGTTCCAGAAGCAAGCAGCAGGCGCCACTTTTTTCGGAGGCGTGCCACTTTTCCGGTTGCATTCACAAGAGGAATCTGTTTCCCAAAACCTAGTTTCGCGACACAAGATTCGCCAACAAGATGCATCGTGTGAGGAGATGTTTAGGTGAGAAACCTCTTTGCGATTGACTAGGATAAGTAAAGCAGACGAAATTACTTGTACGGCAGTCCCAGTCTTCATCTGTGTAGCCAGTCCAAAAGTTGGAGGACCGGCTACGGTGCTGACAATTTTTGCGCAATAGCCCTCAACGATTTCACGTATAACCAGCGGCACTTGTTTTCTTGTCAGTCACCGCAAATGATTAGCAGACAACGAATTTTTTGCCTTCCCACAGCACTCTTGCGAAGCGTTCAAGTGTCGAGTGACGGCACTCGACGCGCGCATTCAAGTGCCGTTTGAGGATGTTAAACTCAAATCATGCTTATTCTGACATGTGTTCCATCGGCTGCTTTCATCCAGTTTGTTTCAGCTTCAAACGAAAGCGAGGCGAATGCCAAGGCTTTACAGCACTACTGCTGCTGCAATAAGGTGTTGAATGCGTCCAACATGCCGCCAAGGCACTGATGGCAGACGACAATGCTGGTTTTGATTTCGAGGCTAACTGGAAGTGATGTCAGGTGCAAGAAGCCTATACAGAAGTACCACCACACTTCTTTGTTATGTTTCTTGCTTATATGAAAATAAAAACAAGTTTATTTAACACTGGCAATGACCATGTCATTCAAATATATGGTGTCTGAAATACCCAGGCTCGAGTTAAAATGGGTCGTAAAAATCGGTGCCTGCACGTAGCAGTCAAAACTTTTCGTCAAAGGTGTATTTTAGAGGTCGGTTTTATCATGCAAAATTACAAAGCGTAGCTCCCTTTCTATAAAAAGGAAGGCCAAGATACTTGCCAAAGTCAACGGCGGGCAGCGAGGCAGACAATCAGGTCGAGTGGCCAAAGGTATGGGCACCTTTGGCGCACATGTTAATAGATGGCGCAACCTTCTTATCGAAAATGCTCGCAACGACCGTGGTTTAAATTAATATAAAATTTTTCTAATGTACCTTTGGTTTAAAAATAAACATGGGCAATGATAGCAAACCTGAAGTAACAAAAATTAAAAAAATAAGTGGTTGCATAACGATGGCGTTTTTGCTGCCAGTGGATTTCATCTGCATGTCATCTGCTTTCTTTTGCTGGACGGCTAAACCTTCGACGGATGGATAGATAGATGGATAGGGCTGAACCCTTTAAAGTGGGAGGCGACTTGTGCCACCTAGCCAGTGTTGTTTTTTCTTCTTAACATTTGTTAAACATAGAGTTATATATCTAGAGATTTATTCTTAAAAGGAATATATAATTTGTACGACAAAGCGTCTCTATGCAACTGGGTGCCCACACCTTCCGCCCTACGGGTTGCCCAGAAGAAAATGAGAAAATATTCATTCTTCCCTCGACCTATGGCACCAGTCAGATAATTTCTTGGTTATCTCCGCCTTCCCCAAGTCTCTTCTTCCCTTACTATTGGTTTATTCCGCCACTACTGACTCTGTTCCCGATGCCATCTATCAATACGTGCGCCGAACGCGCCCCACCACTCGACTTGGTCGTCTGAGTCGCCGTCCGCCGTTAACGCTGGTAAGTCTTATTAGCCCTATTTTTTTACAGAAAGGGAGCTACAGTTTGTAATTTTGCATGATAAAACCGACCAGTGAAATCAACCTTTAATGAACAGTTTAGACTGCTACGTGCAGGTGCCGATTTTTCTGACCCATTTTAGATTGAGACTGGGTATTTCAGACACCTTATATAGGCTAACATTTCTTTACTGGTGCAGTTATTTGAAACTGGGGGACTTTTAATGGCCACCAAAGAAAGTTAGCCTACAGTAGCGTGCAAAATTTCTGACCCCACTAACCCACCGAGACGCTACCCTGCTTCAGTTTCTTCTTTAAGCCTGCTGGTACAAAGTGATAAAGCATGACAATTGCATGCCGATGAAAAGCAGTAAAGCTGGGCCCAAACGGCACAGGGTGTGCGCCACAGCTTGAAGCACATCTTTGACTGCTCTGAGGGTTTGAACGACAAGTGAGTCTTAGCTAGGGCGACTAGGCATGCTGTGAAATCAATGTTTGCACAAACTGCCTTCCTTTTTACTTCTTACAAAATCAAGGGCAACCTATTTTAGAATAGGACTTTTTTTTTTTTCTGCGAGTTCTCTAGTATAAAAGTAAACCAGTAATGGAACAAATATGGTAGTTGTGTTAATTTATCTCATTGTCATCGTAATAACTTCAAAAAAAAACAACCACTCCCTCGCCATAGAAAGAGTGTAGAATCACTTCCACTGGTCCACAAGGGATCCAAAAACACCAATGGTTGAGAACCGCAGGTGTATCGCATAATCCAAAGTGCATAAGCAGTTATGCCAATCCCAATGATGAAAATTATTAGTATGACAGAGAACCAAGTTTTTCTGATTTTAATAAACATTTATAACGTAAGAATCAAAGCACAGTCCCAAAAGTGCACTTCCTTGAATAAAAAAACAGATGCAAAAATTATATCTTAACTTGCTCTCAAAGTTGCGATAGTGGTGACGATCGGCATAACTTCTGATGAACTGCCCCATTTCTTTCAGATCAAACATCTTGAGAATCAAATTTGTAAAAGTATGGCTTGTGCTGTTGCGTTACTTGCCTTAAACATAAATTCACTCAAAGATGTAAGCACTTTGCACAGAACTGTATTCTTGGAACTGGCCTCCAGGCAACAGCAGAACCTTTCATAAAAATGTGTTCACATATGCATATTCTGCTGCATCGCTGAAAAACACCTATAAAACTGTGATGAATTTTAACCCAAGACTGGGACACAAGGAGGAAACATTTTGACAGTGGTGGAAAACGAAACAGGGACAGACAATGCCTCTACGTAGAGACATTGCCTGTCCCCGTTTCCTTTTCTACAACTGTCAAAATATATACTCCTTCTGCCCCATCCCGGGTTAAATTCATTATGGTAAACTTCCACCAGCTCGCCTGTGCAGTGACTGATTTTCTACAAAACTGAGTATATAGTCCTAATGTAGAGAAACTATGTCACAATCAAAAAAACAAATCCTAACCAAAAACATTAACATGTGCAGAAAGCTTGCAGTGCAATAGCACTTGTGTGTAATGTTTCTAATTTGACTGGACAAGTAACTTTCCCGGTTAATTCATCTTAATGTGTGCATGAAATAAAATATTGTGATAAGCCTTTGCATTGTTTCTAAATAACAGCATTGTACTCCTGAAATGCAATGAATATTTGAGTGCGTTTCTCACAGTGCAAAATGTCAAGTAAAGTTGGTTTCGTGTGCATCTAAAGTACTACCCCAAAAGCACCCATCTTTCTTAGTTATATTACTCACTGCACAAAAATGTGCATAGCTAAACCTTCATGTGCGCATAGTGCAAAATGATGCTGAGAGCACACACATGGTCAGTTCTGAGCACGGTGGAGGGAAGAGGTTTCCGAATGCCAGAGCTACACCAGAGGTTCCCTCCCATTTCTGACAAATGCCGCGAGATGGCGCAGCATGACAGGTGCTTGAGGAAACGTCACTATTGGTGCGTACATTTTAAAAGCCTGCCCCTGTCGGGAGATGTGCAAAGCCCAAGTGGAATATCGGCCACCTTTCCGGTCTCGTTTCGACACCTCCCTCCTCTTTTGCTGCGGTTCCAAGCAACGCTAAAGTGAGTATAAAAAAAAGCATGCTTACACTGTAAGAAGGACCTAGGAAGTCTCCAGACTCCACACTGAACACAGAGGCCTTTTTCTGCAACCATTTCCAAAGACATACACTTTCTCAGGATTAAAAAAAAAAAAAAAAAGATATTTGTGGGTTCACACAGGCAAAAACAAAACACACAAAGTGCATTAAAAGTTGGAAGTTCCGCTCACCTTTATAGAAGAGGAAATACCAGAGTCCTTGGTCCGCCGCTCTTCTACAAAGCCGATTGTGGCGGTTGCACTCAGTGAGGCACTGTCTGGTACATCTGTCCGGTCGTCTTCAAACCAGAGCTCATCACTGCGGGACAGAAGCGAAATTCTCAGAATGACACAAAGCAGTCCAGTGCAAAGGAGGTTTGGTGGCTGAGTGTGTTTACACGCTCCAAAGCATGTGAGGCGGAAACTTGCACTGTAGATCCCCTTCCAACTCCTGATTTGTGCGATCACAACTAAGTATGCGATGCATGCTAAAAACTGAGGTGAGCAGCTGTATACTGGTAACCCAACAGAGCAGTGAAACAATTTTTATTATTATATCTCAAAGCAGAATGTCTAGATAGGACTGTGTCACATATACTATCTAGTTTTCCAACGGTCTGGTAATTTTTTCGACAGTAAGCAGGAGAGTGGCTTCTTTTTACACCTTCAGCCAGCAGGCATTTGCTAGGTCTACACCGAGCCTAAATCCTTCTAAATACAGGTGATAGTTTCCAAAGATAACAACATCTTAGCAAGAAACCTTGCCTTCAACGTGAAAAAAGCGTGTCATGAAGTGGAGAGTACAGTAATGTCAGACCACTAAAGATGAAGTCATAAACGAGGCCAGAAAGGAAGCTGGCACCTACAGGGACGTGCAGGACTGCCTTTTCCTGCAAAACCCTTAACTCCTTATTCCTGCCCCCCCCCTCCCCCCTCCCTCCCTCCCCTCCCTTCTTCTTCTTCTTATTCCTCCTCCTCCTCCTCCTCCTCCTCCTCCTCCTCCTCCTCCTCCTCCTCCTCCTCCTCTCTCCCCCCCCCCCCCCCCCCGACCAACCCTCTACTGTCATACCTTCTAGGAGGCACTGGCTATGATAAAGTAGTAATTTGGGTGAGTTGATTCAAGTTTACGGTAGGAATGCAAAATGCACAAAAGAAAGGGGGGATCGGTGGTCTAGCGCACACCAGCTCGGAGCACGTGGAGCGAAAGCTCGCGCTGCAGAACCCAGGGATCCTGGGTTCAATCCCCACCCCTGCCCGTTTCGATCTGGATGAGCATCGTACCGGCGTGCGGTCGTGTATCACTACTGCGTGATGCACGTTAGAGACCCCAGGCTAGCGGCTGTACCGCACTGGCTAAATTTCTCATCTACAGCTGGGAGACTCGTCGCCCCTGTGAGGCAGACCAAGTTCTAGGCTGTATAAACACACACACAACCCAATTTTTTTTTGCACAAAAGAAAATGTGAGACAAGTGAAAAAAGAAGCAGACAAAATGACCAGTCTTAGGTAGTAAAGCATTACTAGTAACGTGTTACTGTAACTTCAAAACTTTTTTGGTAACTTGTAACTAACGAGTTACCTTTTAAAAATGTAACTTGTAACTGTAGTTCTGAGGTAACGTTGAAAGTAACAACGTCACTTTTGTCGTTACTTTCCAGTTTTTTATGAATATATCATTGAACGAGTACAATCTAGCTATTTCTTGCACTTTCCAAATTGCCTGTTTTGACATTGCTAGTGTCAAGTTGGCCTTGAACAAACTTGCGAACACGTTCTACTTCGCTAGTCACGACCCGAATATAGCCACGTATAGATGTGATAAAAACAAATCTCGTTATGTTTTGCACGCGTTTGTACTTTGTGGCAGAACACTTACATCTTAGTATATCTTAGAGCCCTATCTTTGTTGCGGTTGTTCTTTTTTCTGGGCAAAAATCTTTTTAATCGGGTGAATCAATTGTAAACAACAATACATGTAGAGGGCACTGCTAATGTTTCGTATTCTGATTAGCACCACTACTTCGCACTGCGCATGTTTCGTATTTCGATTTGCACCGCTACTCTGGCATGGTGCAACTCTCGAGGCAAAATTTACTGCTGTTTGCGCGGGGTTTGCTTGTTGCTATGGTTGCGCGGAGCCTGTTCAGCAAGGGCAGGGACGTGCTCGCCATCAAACGAGGGAAACTTTCAGCCACTATTTCCAAAAAGCAACTGCTGCTAAGTTTCAATATAAACTAAAAAGCACGATTTTTAATTTTATGCAATAAAACTTGGTGAGGGGCATTTTCTAGTGTTTCATAAATTTTTAGCGTTATAGAAAAGTAACTCAAAAATAACGCCGTTACTTTTAAAAGTAACTGTAACTGTAACGAGTTACTCTTTTGTTGAGGTAACTGTAACGGTAACTTTGCTACTTTTTTACTGAAAGTAAGTAACTGTAACGAATTACTTTTTAAAAGTAACTTACCCAAGACTGAAAATGACTGCCCATCCCATGTTTTTTTTTTTTTAACGTCCCACGGTTTTTTTTGGGCAGAAAATAAATCTAATTTTCCGATTTGACAAAGGCAATATATTTAGACAATATCTATAAGATAAAAACTGCCAGTAGCTACTACACCACTGCCACTGCAAATACCGATTGCGGATGTGCCTACAGAAAATTCCAGAGCTGCAATAATAAACTCATGTCATATCCAAAGTAGGACCTTTGCCAAGGGTGTGCCTCTAGTAGCAGGCAACAGTGTTGCTGGCACTCACCCAAACTTGCGGGGGGCGAAGAGTGCAAGAAGCCTCGCGGTCACCTCCACTTCTTTCCTGTGACATGCCGTCCCCACCACAACTATGGGCCGGCCAGTCAGCAGCGAGTAAAGCAGGTCTTCCACCTTGACGTGCCTGTGCAAGATCTCCAAGAAGGTGGACTCTGCCAAGGGAGACAGTCCGTGAAGAACACGGGACAAAACAAAGCACCCAGCAAGACAACACGGTCAAAGCTTACCGGAACCATCGCAGGCGGACAGGCTGATTGCATCCCAGAGTTTCTCCAGCGTTACTCCGTGCCTTTTTGGTCAGAATGAAACACGGTGGGAAAAGTTTAAGCATGTCACGATCGTGTCTCATGAATTTGGAGACGCATCAAATACTGCGAAGGAATTGGGCAGGTGTTGTGCGTATGTCTGACGTTGCATCAAGTTCGGGTGTCATGAGGCGTCACGGTGTCGCACGACATCGTGACATCACACGATGCAAGGGTTTGACGTGACACCCTGACGTCGAGGTCACGTGACCTCGACCAGTGTGTGGGTCAAGCGTAACATGTCGCTTTTATCGTGAAATTCTGCCCTACATGCTAAAACGTAGAATGCGGTAAACAGACGGTCACACGTTGGCAAGACATTACTGTAAAATCCCATAAGGACGCCCTCCACGAGAGATGGCCCGTCCTGTTTTTCTGGCTGAATATCCACAACATAGAAATTCCGAAATACCCCCAACTCCCGATTTCCATCGGACATCACACAGTGTCCCAACGGGACTCAAATCAACTGCGCGATCTGCAATGCCAGTATGTGTGACAAGTGAGTTTGCAGTGGGTTTTTGCATTTGTTGTTTGCCATCTGCTTGCGCAATTTAAGTTCCCGTGGAATGCAAGTTGTTCCCGTGTGTTCATCGCACCGTGAAACACGAATCTTTTTGCATTTGCAGTCTGCGGTATCCTTTCCTGTGACACAGGTGTTCGTAGCCGATTCCTGCGTGCTTATTGCATTGTGAAACACGAATTCGCCATGTCCGGAATCTGCGGTATCAGTTCCTGGGGTCACCTGGTTTGTGATGGGTGCCCGTGTGAACGCTAGCCATAAACAGTGAAGCTGTTTATGGCTAGCGTTCCGTGGATTTTTCATGTGCGTGACCAAAAACTCTATGCTCGCACCGCCACACGCGCACATCTTCTTCGTATAAAAGATTCTAAGTAAATGACCAAAATAAAGCGTTGACAAACGCACGTGCAAAGTGCCATTTGTTTTAGGCTTTTCCTTCAGAACAGTTACTGCTGCAAGCACAGGCATGTGCGGCGCATGGAACACTATTCCCTGCATTCTCCTTGATGCTTGGGTAATTTAGCAATAGATATATTTCACTTCTCTCGTCGTAATGGGGAGACCGCACATAATCCGGACTTCTGAACAGCAATGCGCCTACGAAGAGCAAACGCGGGAGCGGCACACAGAATGTCAGCGGCGGCGGCGGGCGGCAAACACCACCGATGAAGATCGTGCACAAAACGTCAAGCACATGCGGCAAACCAGACAAGACGACGAATGTCGCGGGGCAGACAACGCATCAAAAAGACGCAGGTGCCATGCATACGCTAAATTCTGTGTCACGTCTGTGTCGTGTGCTAAACAACTTCGCTGGTCATCCACCTACACAGAGAGGAATGGTTCATGCTTTTTATAAATTTGTGCCGTCTCATCCCCGAAGATAGCCCACCTCATGTCTTCACCATTCATCTCTTCATTATGGGTGGGCACCCTTTGAGATTTTATGATAGTTCCTTTTTTAAAACAAAAAGTTTGATTCAGCTTACCACGTGCAGTCCTCTGGCTCGACACTTGCTCCGTCTCTCCTCCAGTAGCTTCTTTCACCTGAACAAATGCAATAAAAAAAGGCAGCCATGAAGTGTCATAAAAATAAATTACATATCTGATCCCTGTTTTCTAAACCAGTCTTCTCTTAGCATAAATAAATGGGCTGCAGGAGAGTAAAGAGCAGTGGCCAATTTATCAGTAAGCGAAAGAACTTCAGGCTGCTCAAGCTATCTAAGGACAGCAGACAGAATAAACTGTATATTGATCAAGTAATGCTTTAAAAGGTTGACTGCTGGATTAAGATGCCACATAACTGCGTGGCCACAGTAATGTAAGGGTTGCACCCCCCCATATTTAGACAAAAATATATAAAAAGAGATGATTTAAAAAATTTTTCATGTATTAGCTGCACCCCCTTTTTTTTCTGGGGCGCGCCGACAACTTCCACAGTGTGGCGTGCACTCTGCATCTCCACTCCGCCATCTTTATGCCACCGAGCATGCGCCTTGGCTTGCACTTTTTGCCGTGTTTTGAAATGCAGATAAGAAAGATTCCGGGATAAAAGCTTTGGAAATCTATCCTTTTTCTGGTTTTCGTATCATCCACGGTCGCCTTCCGCCCACATGATGGCAGTTGCTGGTAGGCTTGAATGTTTCGTTCAGCTAAGTTGGTTTGTGCGGGCCCAACAACCTGAGAGCAGTAAGCAAGTAAAGGGTGCCCCCCGAAAGATTTACAAGTTTTTTTCAACCACAAAAAAATGAAAGCCGTTTACAAATCCCTGTAACGCCGAATTGGAGCGAAGCTCTTGAGGAGGAGTAGGGAAGGGTACTGAGGGGGGTGACGTCACCTGCGGGTAGTCACGTGACCCCGGGGGGGTCACGTGATCTCGGGGGAGGGGGTCACGTGACCTCGGGGATCACGTGACTTCGGGGAAGGGGGGGGGGGGGGGTCACGTGACCCCCCCCCGGTTACGCCGACGGCGACGCCACTCAGGCTGGAAACGGGCCCCTAAGAGCTGCGCTCTAAAAAAATGAAAGCCGCTTACAACTCCCTGTAACGCCGAATTAAAGCGCAGCTCTTGAGGAGGAAACAAGAAGGTAAGGAGAGGAGGCTATGCCCCTCCTCCTCTCCTGCTCGCCTCCCATTTAGGGAAAATTTCCCGCTAAATTTAGCGGGGAAATTTTTCCCATAGATTTATCGGGGAAATTTTCCCACTAGATTTAGCGGAAAAATTTTTTCGCTAGATTTAGCGGGGAAATTTTTCCGCTAAATTTAGCGAGGAAATTTTTCCGCTAGATTTAAAGGGGGAATTTTTCCACTAGATTTAGCGCGGAAATTTTTCCGCTAGATGTAGCGCGGAAACTTTTCCGCAAGGTTTAGCGGCGAAATTTTTTTGCTAGATATAGCAGGGAAATTTTTCCCTTAGATTTAGCGGGGAAATTTTTCCGCTAGATGTAGCGTGGAAACTTTTCCGCTAAGTTTAGCGGCGAAATTTTTTCGCTAGATCTAGCGGGGAAATTTTTTGTTAGATTTAGCGGGAATATTTTTCCGCTAGGTTTAGCGGGGAAATTTTTCCGCTGAGTTTAGCCGCGAAAGTTTTTCGCTAGATTTAGCAGGGAAATTTTTCCGCTAGATTTAGCGGGGCAATTTATCCACTAGATTTAGCGGGGAAATTTTTCCGCTAGGTTTAGAGGGGAAATTTTTCCCCTAAGTTTAGAGGCTAAATTTTTTTGCAAGATTTAGCGGGGAAATTTTTCCACTAGATGTAGCGCGGAAATTTTTCCGCTAGATTTAAAGGGGGAATTTTTCCACTAGATTTAGCGCGGAAATTTTTCCGCTAGATGTAGCGCGGAAACTTTTCCGCTAAGTTTAGCGGGGAAATTTTTCCGCTAGGTTTAGCGGGGAAATTTTTCCGCTAAGTGTAGCAGCGATATTTTTTCGCTAGATTTAGCGGAGAAATTTGCCTACTAGACTTAGCGCGGAAATTTTCCACTAGATTTAGCGCGGAAATTTTTCTGCTAGATTTAGCGGGAAAATTTTTCCAATAGATTTAGCGCGGAAATTTTTCCGCTTGATTTAGCACGAAAATTTTTCCGCTAGATTTAGCGGGGAAATTTATCCACAAGATTTAGCGGGGAAATTTTTCTGCTAGGTTGAGCGGGGAAATTTTTCCGCCAGGTTTAGCGGGGAAATTTTTCCCCTAAGGTTTAGCGGGGAAATTTTTCCCCTAAGTTTAGAGGCTAAATTTTTTCGCTAGATTTAGCGGGGAAATTTTTCCGCTAGATTTAGCGCGGAAATTTTTCTGCTAAGTTTAGCAGCGAAATGTTTCCGCTAGATTTAGCGGGGGAATTTTTCCACTAGATTTAGCGCGGAAATTTTTCCGCTAGATGTAGCGTGGAAACTTTTCCGCTAAGTTTAGCAGCAAAATTTTTTCGCTAGATTTAGCGGGGAAATTTTTCCGTTAGATTTAGCGGGGAAATTTTTCCGCTAGGTTTAGCGGGGAAATTTTTCCGCTAAGTTTAGCGGAGAAATTTTTTCGCTAGATTTAGCGGGGAAATTTTTCCGCTAGGTTTAGCGGGGAAATTTTTCCGCTAAGTGTAGCAGCGATATTTTTTCGCTAGGTTTAGCGGGGAAATTTGCTTACTAGACTTAGCGCGGAAATTTTTCCACTAGATTTAGCGCGGAAATTTTTCTGCTAGATTTAGCGGGAAAATTTTTCCAATAGATTTAGCGCGGAAATTTTTCTGCTAGATTTAGCACGAAAATTTTTCCGCTAGATTTAGCGGGGAAATTTATCCACAAGATTTAGCGGGGAAATTTTTCTGCTAGGTTTAGCGGGGAAATTTTTCCGCCAGGTTTAGCGGGGAAATTTTTCCCCTAAGGTTTAGCGGGGAAATTGTTCCCCTAAGTTTAGAGGCTAAATTTTTTCGCTAGATTTAGCGGGGAAATTTTTCCGCTAGATTTAGCGCGGAAATTTTTCTGCTAAGTTTAGCAGCGAAATGTTTCCACTAGATTTAGCGGGGGAATTTTTCCACTAGATTTAGTGCGGAAATTTTTCCGCTAGATGTAGCGTGGAAACTTTTCCACTAAGTTTAGCAGCAAAATTTTTTCGCTAGATTTAGCGGGGAAATTTTTCCGTTAGATTTAGCGGGGAAATTTTTCCGCTAGGTTTAGCGGGGAAATTTTTCCGCTAGGTTTAGCGGAGAAATTGTTTCGCTAGATTTAGCGGGAAAATTTGTCCGCTAGATTTAGCGCGGAAATTTTTCTGCTAAGTTTAGCAGCGAAATTTTTTTGCTAGATTTAGCGGAAAGTTTTCCGCTAGATTTAGCGTGGAAATTTTTTCGGTCAATTTAGCGGGGAAGTTTTTTCGGTAGATTTAGTGGGAAAATTTTTCCGCTAAGTTTAGCGGCGAAATTTTTTCTGCTAGATTTAGCAGGGAAATTTTTCTACTAGCAGGGAAATTTCTCCGCTAATTTAGCGGGGAAATATTTTTCGCTATGTTATGATGTGATGAGGCTGTCTGATCTTAGAAGAAAAGGACATCCAGTGAGCACGCTCGCAGGAGGTGGAACGCACTGTTGCGTTTGGAACTGACGAGCAATCGCCATAGCTGCTGCTTTGATCCTGCATGTTACTTATTAAACAGTTTGCTTAAACCATCCTCCTGAGCTTAATTAGCAACATAACACACTAGATTTAGCGGGGAAATATTTCCACTAAATTTAGCGGGGAAATTTTTCCGCTAAATCTAGCGGGAAAAATTTTCTGGTAAATTTAGCAGGGAAATTTACCCATAATGCACCGCGCAGTTACGCCGACGCCGCTCAACCCGGAAACGGGCGCCTAAGAGCTGCGCTCTAAAATAAACTATGCAACGCCGAACGCTCATTCTCTGCCCAAATGTGGCACCAGAGGTCCAAACGAGATGCCAAAGTTTCAGCACAAACCAATATCTTATTAAAAAGTTAGTTATTTTCTGAACATTTCAATGGGAATATGGGCCCATTTTCACCCATTTTCGGTTTCCAGTACCGTTTTCGGTTTCGGCCGCCATTTTCCCATTGAAAGTTTTAGAAAATTACTTATTTTTTAATAAGATAACTGCTAGTGCTGAAACTATCATATCCGGTTCAGACCTCTAGTGCTACATAGGGGTGAAAAACGAGCATTCAATGATGCATAGTTTATTTTTGAGGTGAAAAAAAAACCTTGCAATTTTTTTGAGGGACACCCTGTACTTTCAAACTGCCACTTATGCCCTAAAGTGCAGCAGGTGTACAACGGGTTGCAAATATGGTGTCGATAAGACCTACGTACGGTGCTGGACAAAGAATGCGGTACGAGGCAGGCTCACTTGTACGCTGCGGTCGCTCGACGTCAATGTCGAAATGAACGTAGAGGTGAAATTCTAAGAAATAAATGGCTAACACAAACTCCAAAAAGGCGCTTGTTGGACAGCTCAAAAGAGAAACACTGGCCCATGTTGACACTGGTCAGACTCAAGCACTGAGGATACCGTGGGTTGCAAAAAAACGATTGAAACAGAAATAAAAATGCTCAAGACCACTGCTTGCGATCACAGGTACATAAACTTTTTTTTATATGTGCATCCAAAGCTATTTTGTTTTTATGAATGTTTTATTAGCTCTGAAATTAAAAAGAAGGTGTGGCCCTTACACGCATTTATATTACTCTTCCTCATCTTCTGCATCGGGAACCTTAAGCATTACCGACTTATTTCTTTCATGGCTCCACAACAGTCAATGATTAACGACTGGAGAGAGATTGCCCCAAAGGAAAGCTTACGGAGATGATGGCACGACCCTTTACAGCTAAAGTTAGCTGCAATGTGAGATGTGCTTACAGCAATAAGGCATAAAGCAGATCATATGACAATTAACTATCAGCACTAACCTTATTCCACAGCTAGCATTACACTAAACCCTGAAATCAGTATGTGGTTAAAAGTGAGCCTTTGCAAAGGAAGCTAGATTTTCGCGATCTAAATAAATGCCTCTAAATGCAGTATAAAGTGCTTTGCAAAAAGCGAGCACTGAAATTTAACGGCTGTACTTACACAAACTGCCTTCCCTGTCCCGCACCTTTCCTGTGACAGACGAGAAATCAAAAGCAATTACAGCAGCATAAGTGTCGGCTGTGGCACGTGCACCCATACAGTAACGTCAGCTTCACTAAAGAGCATGTGCTACAAGCACACACGTGTGCTAGTAGCATATGCGCAGTAGTGACAGCTTGTAGCCTGTGCACACTCACTGACAGCTTAAAAAAAGCATATCTTGGTGAGTCGGGAACACCTTATTATCGAACCGCAGTCAACGGGGTTGCAACATTAGCAGGGGTGGAAGCAAGCTTCAGCCTTTTGTAGCAGACACAAAATAAGCGCAATGGTCAAACACAGGAAAGAGTAGACAGGACAGAGCACTACTTACAACTCATGTTTTATGAGAGGAGAAAGGAAGACAAAGATAAAATTGAGACTATAATCATGGAAAGAGGAGAAGAAAGAACATGCTAGAGAGGGAAAGGAAGAAGACAATAAAGAAAAATTCAAGAAAAAAGAATAAGGATAAAGGAAAAAAAAACACTAAGAAAACAAATAGCAAAACAACAGCACAAAAAATTTGAAAAGGAAGATTTTGGAAAAAAAAGCAACCTATGAAAAATAGTACAGGTACTGAAGTTCCTTCATTGATAAGTTTACCGACGGAGCACTAGCACACGCATCCCCTCTGGTTGCTATGACTTGGGCTTCACTTATTTCTCGTGTTTTTTTGTCCACACTTCATCGCAGGATATGCTGCTGCTACCTGCGCACTTCGTCGCAGGTAGCCCGTTTATCTAAATATCTGTGCTACCTGGGTTGGTAAGCTCTGTATGATGGCTCTGTCACATTTAGAGAGAAAATCAATGTCCATGTCAGAAAGAGAATGTGTGGTATGGAATGTGGTTATATACTACACATTTGAGCATTTGACCGCAGCGTGGCATGGATGAAAATGAACGAAAGGCTCGGCATGCTGCGGCTCACCGTCTACGCAGACAAGCACCACCAGAGCTTTGCCCCAATCAACATCAATCACCACGAGGAGATGCGGTTGTTTTTTGGTTGGGTTTGGCACAACATTTGCGCTTCGGAGCAAGATGGAGCAGCGAAAGTGAATTGGCACACAATGGCACAATTGGAGCAGTGCTTCCACCCTTGCATTAGCCAATCAGAACGCCGAAGAACGAATCACAAAGCGTGGGCATGACGAGTCACACATTCCCTAAGCCCTCAATGACTGTAATATCATACATTTTTAAGATTATATGCAGGCATGATTTAAGGTTCACACAATCAAACAGAACTACCTAAAGGACAGCTTTGATTAGATAAACAATCAACTGGTTAATAAGTAATATAGGTACAACTATTTACCCAATGTGATACCCATAGTAAAGCTCCAAAGTAATAAATAACAAAGCGACTAGGCACTGTAGACGTACCAGATTCATCACTATTTGTGCTGCTCCCGCTGCCCCTTCTTCGTCTCGACAACTGCTCTGAAAAACAAACAAGCTCTTTTGATAAAGCAATCAATGCTAAGGAGAAGCGTTAATAATCCCTTCTCCGGATTATTATCAAAGTTCTTGTGACCTGAATTGGGCTTAGAGGTCGGGCCAAGTTGAAATCTCCCAAAGACACTGGTACGGTTAAAAGCCATTTGGTGTCAAGGCACGCAATGTACAGTCTCCACCAATACGAAAAACCCGCTCAAATAAGTGTCCAAGCCGGCGGCTCTTAAGGGCGCCGCTCGCGCTTGGGGCAATTTCATGACTCTTGGAGGGAAGGGAATGTGCTTCACCGGTGTGCACTGATTCAGTTTGACGGCATTATCGAGTTTCACTCCCCTTGGAGTGACAATGAAACCGTCCACGACGCACGACGCGTCCCCACTGGCCGCTGTCTCAGCCACGTGCTTCAAGTGGGTCTTTCATATTGTTGAAGGCTGTACTTTAAATGCAATTGATGTGCCCATAACTACTACGCTGCATTTGTCCCACACATTTTGCACAATGTTCTGTCTGCAGTACTCCACAGAAGAATTGGTGGCAGACTTCAAACAGATGGCCCACCTCAGACGAACGCACTACAGGGGGAAGTATACTACAACATGGTGCCAGACAAAACATGTCCACCCGAACACTCAAACCAAAAAATAGCCACCTCAACAAGAAGACGTTCAATGACATCTCCCGAAACTAAAAGAGAAAAGGCCAAGCGGCTTGTTTACACCAATATGAAAATGATAAACATGATGGCAAATTGTAAGCGAGATGTTTCTTTGTCTGCTTGTGAGCCCAGAGTAGCTTGTTCGGTTTAGTTTTATGGCAGAGCTGCCTTCCATATTAACGGAAGAGTAGTTTTCAGTGGCTACAGTACAAAACTTATTGTCCCACAACTTCACCCCTTTGCCGCACCATCGTGGCAAAGGGAGCAGTACTGCAGAATGTATTGTATGTTGCTTCACGGTGATGCTGCGTGGAGAAACTGTACATATTTTATGTCTTGACAGGACGGATGTAGTGTAGGAATGCTCTGCCAAAGCTAACATTCCAGTGGGAAAGGAAGGCAAAGTTGGCGTCTCTAGCAGTTGCATACTCCCGCCCTGATCTTGCCATTTTATGACTCCTTGTTTCCTCAAAAGCATGCTCTCTTCTTTCCTCCCTTCTGCACACTCTCCCACCACACGAGTGAGCGCGCTCCCTCAACCCCCCGTCCCCTTCCTCCAAGGTATTTCACTATTTTGACCATGCTACGAGGAGCTTTGTCGAGTTACAACCACAAGTCACTGAGAAATCTGCGCATTTCATTAAAAGGGCACTCAAGTGGATTCTGAGATTGTCTGTTTATTGTCATAACTCAATCTACAGGCTCCAAGCATCCTAAAAAAACTCGAAATCACATTCAAGAGTGGCCGATTTTCCTATTAAAAGTTCAATCACAGATTGTGACGTGCCCATCTTTCTGCACCGTGGCGCAGAACACAAGGGGTACCACCGGACTGGAAGGCAGCAGGGGAGGGCATGCGACAACCAATCACGAGTGACGGCTTTTCAGCGGACTAATTTTTCGAAGGCACGCGTATTCGAAAATATAGTCCGCCGGGAAGCTGTCACCCGTGATTGGCTATCGCATGCCCTTCCCTTCTACCTTCCTGCCTGGTGGCACCCCCTGGTGTTCTGCGCCACGGTGCAGAAAGAGGGGCGTGGCACGATCTTTGAATGGACTTTGATTGGACCCACCCCTTAATTTTGAGATTTTTAAAACACCATCAAAAGACGTATCAAGCACCCACCCCCAATTCTAAGCAAGTTCAAACATATGCAAAAAACATATTGAGTGCACAGTCGCCGTGGGCGGCCATTATCTCCGCGACCGGCGGACATCATGGGCACTTTTTCATTTTTCTCAATAAACCGTATTTACTCGTGTGATCAAAACACCCCCAACGACGATTGTCAGTATTGATATTTTTTTTCTTTTCTACGCACAGCCGCCAAGCGGCCGGGTTGAGCCAAACCAAGCATGGCAGCACAACCGTGCAAGTTATGGCTGCAAGTGGGAAGTAGCAGAAGTGATAAACAGCGTAACCGTGCGGAGAGTACGTCCAACAAAATTGGGGTAGTGGAATCACCTGGCCCTCGGACGTGTTTCGTCTATCGGATATATTGATGTCAACGACCATGGCGTGGCTTGCGGTTCGTTTTCGGACAATGAAATCGTGAAAGTGGTTAGACCTAGGGACGGTTACGTCAGTTTTTGTACCGAGTACTGTCGACTCGAAAACTGCGTTAAGCGTCGTAGGGTGCTTTTTCGCCGGCGAAAAGAATGCCGAGGTTCTGTTTCCTTGCACTAATGAGCTCCGTTATCTAGGCAAACAACGACCACTCCGAGTTCAGTGGTTGGACCGAGCAAGGGCCCACCAAACTGTGTGCTCCTCCTGCATTTTCGCTCTTGGACCTAGCAACCATGCATTCCCCAGTTTTCCACGATTATCTCCCAATTTTTGTGTGGGTGCTTGCTCGGTATTTTGCGTTATATTAAACTGGCCAGATGCTAGGAAAGCACACAGAAAGCAACATGAAACAGAACCATGCGCAAGCACTCTGAAATGCGATACAATATCTCACCCGTGCCTCATGCCTACCTTTCCATGCTCGTGGCTTTGGTGACATCTGGAAGTTAGTTTCTAAGCAGAGCACAACAGAAAGCAAGGAAGATGTGCTACAGCATTGCAACATGCACTAGGCCGTTTAGTAAAGAAAAAAAAGGCTAACATGAAAATAAGGCAAAATGAAGAGCTAAGCAATTCCAGTCAAACATATTTATAACAAACTCCGTGGAACCGGCAAAGAAGTTTTTTATACAAGTCACTCCTTATAGTTCTAAGAGTTTACAGACGAGTCCGTTTATATAGAACCCAGGCACTTAGAAATGTGGTCCATTTCGTACGGCCAAAACATCCCCCTGAAACTTCCACATAAAAAAGTATACATGCCTTGTGCATCTGTATCAAACTCCGTCACCCAGGACATTAGATATGTCGAGCCGTGACCCTGGTAAGTAGGCTTTCCTTAAACAACACCACTGCACGCACTGAGGATAAGACTCTGGCCACTGGCAGCAGCGAAAGGCACAAAAATTTAGAGGAGAAAAAGAACACTCCGTCTCGACTCCTTAGCCCCCACCATAAAGAAAAGAACAAAACAAAACAAGTCTGGCTAGTGGAGTGTGTCAACAACGGTTGTGCAATGGCACTTCAAAAAATACCTTGTCTATCTTTGTTTACCTTTTGCTTTTGCAACTTTTGCTTTGCCGTTTTTTTTGTTTTCTCTTGGTGTCCGATTTTAGTCAAACGCCTTCATTACAAACGCCTCTACTATGAAAGCGTTTGTTTAACGAAGTAAAATAAAGTCCCGTCCAATCTCCTATGTGTTCAATATGCTTCTCTGAGTACTACTACGACGAATTCCCCACGAAGCAAAAATGACCGGTATTACAAATTTTCTAGGTGAAAAGTAATCAATTTCATGTAAATTGTCGCTCTCAAGTGATGTGCATAGATAAGAAAAACACTGCTGCAGCGGCGGCAACTAAAACTGTTGCCATGCCGCACGTTCTCGGTTTTAGGTCTAAATAATTTGTAAGTGTGCAACCTTGTGTCTAGATGGCAACACGACAGGGGACCCAAAAGTAACCGGAAGTAATTTCTGGAGGGCAGGCCGTTTGTTCTATCAGCTTCCACCAGCAGCGCTCAGCAGAACCCCTTTTGAGTCAGTTTGCTGACCGACGTTGTCTGATAAAGCTCTAGTGGCATGTCGTGGCGAAGCCAGGAATATTTTTTTGGGGGGCGGGGGGGGGGGGGGAGCTGAGGTGGCTGGGATGTCCATGACTAGGGGTGCGGAGAGTTGGACGGGGGGGGGGGGAGGGACAAGCTGCATCTGCATCCGCATAAGCCGCCGCCGCCCCCCCTCCCCCCCCACCTGGCTACGCCCCTGGTGGCATGTTGTAATTTTTTCCACCCAAGTGCGTCATATCATTCTTAATTTTTTGCAATGTCTTATTTGAGGGACCTTCCACAACCACAAAATGTATCCTCTCAAGGTCTTTTTTCGTACGGGCAAAGAGCAAAAATCGCACGAGGTGAGGTCCGGTGAATAGGGGGCGGAGAAGCACTGTCATGCTATGCTTGCTCAATAATTGTTGCACTGACAGGGCAGTGTATGATGGGGCATTGTCGTGACGGAACCACTCCTTCCTTTCCCACAAATCGGGGCGTTCCTGCCTCAATGAGTTGCGCAAGCGTCGTACAACTAGCAAGTAAAACACCTGATTAACAGTTTCACGAGAAGGAACAAACTCTGAGAGAACAATGCTCGAATTTTGGAGGTTGAGGGTACCCTGAACGAGGTTGGTCGTCGATGAATAGTTCCCAGCCTTGAAGCAAGGAAACCACTCGCAGACCTGCGATTTCTTCATAGCATCTTTGTAAACCGTTTGAAGCATTACAAGAACTTTCCACCGCCGTTTTCCCACCCAAAAAAAAAAACAAGATTTCACGGCTGCACGCTGTTCCTTCAAAACAGACATTGCAAAAAAAAAAAAAAAACTTTGGTGAAGAAGGAAGACCAGCGAAACTGTACTATGGTGGGACGACCTCAAGGATGATGCCTAGAGGACAACGTCCAGGACGACCTCAAGGACGACGCCTAGATTGACCTCAAGGACGACTTCTAGGACGACCTCGAGGACGACGCCCAGGAAGACCCCGGGGATGACGTCTAGACGACCTCAAGGATGACACCTAGGACGACCTCAGGGACGATGTCTAGGATGACCTCAAGGACGACATCCAGGTAGATATCAAGGACAACTTCTAGGATGACCTCAAGGATGACTTCTAGGACAACTTCGAGGACGGCCTTGAGGACGACATCCAGAACGACCACAAGGATGACTTCTAGGACGACACTGAGGACCTCTCGGACAACCTCAAGGACGTCTAGGATGACCTCTAGGACGACCTCAAAGACGACTTCTAGGACGACGCCTAGAAAAATTCAGCCATTCCACCCTAGTGAAAACCAGAGTGGAAAGGCTGGAAAGGTTGCCACCATCTATGAGTGACGGTGGCAATCAGACAACCGGCAAGGTGGTTGTCTGGTTGCCACCACCGCTCATAGATGGCGGTAGCTGTCCAGATTTCTGTGTCGAGATTTATTTGTCCATGGACATAAAACTGGGGAAACTAGCCCATAACAGCTCTGCTGTAAAAACGAGGATTGATATTGAGGCGCTTGGGAAAAAAATCTCAACATGCCGCTGGAACTCTAGCAGACGACGCTGATCGGCACACTGAGTTGGAAGGGGCGCCGCTAAGCGCTGCTAGCGGCTGAAGCTGGTACTACGAACGGCTCGCCCCTCAGAAATTAATTTTGGTTACTTTCGGGTCTTCTTGCATACGAGACTACATTGCTCCGTAAAGGGCCCATATGCAGCAACATAGTCAAGTAGCACCATCTAGAAAAAGGTTGCACACAAAAAAAATTATTGAGACCCAAAATTGAGAATGCGCGGTAGGGCATGCAGTGGAAGCGGCACAGTGGCGGTGGCGCTGCTTCTGTGCCTCCATCCCAAATTGTTCTGCCTTGGGGTGATAATATGCGGTCAGGGAAACGTGATATGTAACTCCACCCGTGACGCCAAAATCTAAGCAAAACCAGTAGAGCCGCACAGAAAGAAACGCACCCCCCTTTTTATGCCGGACAGATGTGAAAGAGAACTCAGAACCGAACGTTTGTTCGGTTCCTTTTGTTCTTCGATTTGTGTCAAAGCGTCGTGATTCGTCTGCCTTTTCGCACAATCAGCGAGCAATGGGCAAGTACCACTTCAACAGTCATACAAGACTCAAATTGAAAGTTGCCGCACATGCTATCAAGTACGGCAAATAATAAAAAAAAAAAGGCGTATTGCGCAGTATGTCAAGTTGTAAACTAATTAAATCTGACTGATGACCGAGTCCGGATTCCGGAGTGAAGGCGTTTCCGACCAGTGCAGCTGAGCGTGCTCATGTACGTTCATTTCGGAATGTGGATACAGATATATTTTTTTTATCCGTGTATGGGCCGCACCTCGAAAATTTGCTTTCAAATTGGGAAAAAATAGTGCGGCCCTTACACGAGTTTATATATACGGTAATCAATATAAAGGTGCCTGACTTGGAAACAAGTGAATGAGCAGTGATTACCAAAAAATGCCAAGAGACAGAATTCACAGTCTATACCTCTTGGACAGCTCTGTCTGATCTGCCAAAATTTCCAGGAAGCTGGTGAGAAGCAAAACAAGCACAAAGGCCATTGGAACTTTTGCTGACATTAAAAGGTATGAAAAGCGATGCATACCATTACAAAACATAAAAAACAAACATGCAAAGCGTTACAAGCTGAACAGTGCGAACAAAATGAGCTAAGCAAAGCAATTGAGAGTAAAGCCATCTCAACTGGGAAGCACTGGAAGCACTCACTGTTAGTTTTCACCTTGCAGTGAGTTTCTGTTGCATCCAAGTGCCTTTCTGAAAAGAAAAAAAATTGTCGAACTGTTCCATATGCAGTACCATACTGAAGTGGACAGAGCTGGACTTTAGAAATTAAGGCAAGGACCATGTGGCTTGCTCGAGGAATTGTACAATTATCTTAAGAGTCTCACGAAGGCTGGTTCCCACAATATGTCGATAAAGACACACTGCCGCACTGGAGAAAATAATGATGTAGGTTTGATATGTATGGTAGAAAGGTGCAGTGTCCCACAATATGAAAAACCCATCTGCCGGGGCAGTTTGTGAGGCAGTGCTAAGCACGGTTTTACCACAGGTACTTTATTTTCAGAAAGATAATAGAACAAAGAATAATTTATTACCACACACTAAGCCATCTAAGCCCTGCCAAAGTGAAACCTGCACAGCCTCCTGAAACTGCCTTGTCAAAAGGGTATTTCACATTTGGAGAGTTTATGTAAATGTAGGTACCGTATTTACTCGCATAATGAACGCACCTGCCACAACGGGTACCAATATCTGGACTTTTTTTTCCCTCGCGTAATGAATGGACCTCCAATTTTCGGCTCCGCGAGTCTCGAACTGTGTCCACCTGAGCTAGCTGCATCCAACTTAGCTAGCCACCAAGCACACCAATCTAATTTTCCTCTGCCACCAAGCAGTCAGGCCAAGTCAAGCCAAGCGAAGCCGCTCTTTTAATGGCTGCAACTGCGTAGTTGCGGAAGTGATCGACCATGAAACCTAGCGGCACGCACACTTGACTAAGCTTGGGTCAAGAAATTGCCTAGCCCCGGACATCCTTTGCCTATCGGACGCATTGATGTCAACAAACACGCCGTCATCTATGGACCGCTTTCGGACAGTGGAATTGTGAAAGTGGTTAGGCCTAAGAATAGTCGCGTCGCTCTCCGTGCCAAGTAAGCTTCATAGGTCGCTTTTCCTTCGGCAAAAGGCAAAAGGCAATGCGTCCTAAAAAGGTTTGCAATTTATAAAGCACGATTATTATGGCGCGCCACCGACCAACCGTGGGTGCACCCCCACCAGTGGAGACGTGCCACAGTAACTTGCCGTGCTATATTGCCACCTAATATGACATTTGCACAAAGTGCGTAAATGCAAAAATTTTATTCCGCGTAATGAACCCCCCAATGATGTGTCCATTTTTCGGGGAAAAAAGTGTGTTCATTATGCGAGTAAATATGGGACAAGAACTAGCCAGGACTCATGCATACCTTAGCCTGAATGCTGTGTTGGCAGTACTTCCTGTTGAACTGACATATAGCATAAGAAATAGCTTCCTAACTGGGTGCAGACTTTGCAGCATGCTTTGAGAACTAGGATTGTGCAAATATTAGCATTTTCGAATAGTAGTTTTGAATAATATCATAACATGCTATATAAAATTAATTTCGAGATGAACTACAATATGAATTCGAGCCCAGTTATATCACACTCGGGTATTTCGAATTATTGTTTATATCAAACAGTTCAAACATCACCTTAAAAATCACATGTGGTAGTGTAGGAGCGTTGTCTTTTTGTATCCAAATCCCCATGGTGGGGACACTCGATATAGCGAATGAAGCCTCGGTGCGTTGCTTTTCCCGCGATCCGATTGCGCAGGTGGCGAGCGAATCGCTTGTGTTGCATAGCTAGCAGACCGCAAAGCCAGCATACACGTGGAAAGATATGCAGCAAAAAAACAATTGTAAAAAAAAAAAAAGAACCATAAAAAGAAAGAAGAAAAGTGGAGGATGGCAAAAGCAAGTGGAAGGGCACGCACGTGCACAAAGAGAGAGCAGGGAGTGCCCGCTAGCCCTCCCTAGCCCTAAAATAAAATAAGCAAAAAAAAAAAAAAAACCCCGAGAGAACAATGGATGTGCAATCACAATTTGAACACCTTTTCTTTGTTTATCTTTTTCTTTTGCCGTTATTGCTTTGCCCGTCTCTTTTTTCGCTGCCTGAATTTAGAGAGCTTTCTTTTTTGTTGCTTGTTTAACTTTTTTCTGCGGATCAAGAAATTTGTTTTATGCGTCTCGCTTTCCCGTTGTTGTTTTTTTTATTTTTTTTTTTTTATTATTATATTCATGTTTTGTTGTCGATTCTGTGTGGAGGTCCCGGCTAGGCGCGCGTGTAAGTGCGGCAGTGCTTGCGGTCTCCACCACTACGCTCTACTGTATTGAGCGGATCTTAAATGCTCTAATTAGTAAACTCCCGTTTGAATTTTTAATATTTTTTTAGCTGAATGTTTGAATTTTAATTTAATGCTTACAACCCCCTTTGAATTCGATATATCCGGGTTCAACTTGCACACTTTCGATGCATTAACCACGGCATGTTAGCTCCGTTGAGCGTGCTCCTTTACGAGCACTAATGCACTGCAGAGAAGCAACAGAAGTGAAAGCGAGCTCCACAAGTGTTGCTTCCCCGCAGTGCACTGGTGCTTGGTAAGCAGCCAGCTCAATGGGGCTATTCTGCCTATTGCGTCCTTCTCAGATGGTGTGGGAACCATGGGGTTCCCTCATCCCTATCCAGGCCTAGCTTCGAGCAGGCCGTGGGAGTCGTCGTCAGCAATTGCGTCGGCCTCCCGGATACAAGGAACCACGAGGCCGAATTCCCCGAAGGGGCCGGCTCTCCCTTGCCCATTTGGGTGAACACGCCTTCGGCACACCCTTGAGAGTTATAATGGACGCGACTGCTAGTGGCCTCCCCGGGCGCGTCCATTCTCCGAGGCTACATAAGCTGGCCCCGAAGGTGGGCCAGGGGCTCTCGTCGGCGGAGGCCCTGGCTCTACGGAGCTCGGTTTTTCTTTGTGGGCCTCCGACTTCCCGTGAATCTGTCTAATGCGGCAGCGCGGGAAACCGACCGGGTGATACTGGCAATTGAGCCAGCGCCCAAACTTTTCATTGTCTAAGAGCGAAGCGTGCTGACATTGCAGTCAATAAACACGTCCTTATACGGACCCAAGGAACCTCCTTTGTGTTTCTAAGTGGTACACCCTCAAAGAGGAAAATCCCACAATGGAAAGAAGCTAATGATGAGGTGCTGGTAGAATTCCGGCTCCGAAATGTTATTTGCGCTGAGATTTAATTGTTATCAACACATCGGCGATTGGCTGTTCACAGGCCTTGTGGAGAAGTAGATGCGCAGCCTATGTTCATATAAAAGAGCATTCTAGTTGCGGTATGGTAGCTCGTGCCAAATCCTGTACATGTGAGTGAGTGCTAAGTGTTTGGTGTTAACAGGAACATGCTCCGCAAATGCCAAAGCATTGGGAGAGCCATACCAGAATTACTCCTCCTGTGCTCCGTGCCAAGCCTACCTGGAAGCCAGAACATGCAGTTGTAATGCATGCATGTAAACATGAGGGACACCCTTCTTACTCTGTATGGCCTCAGGAAGTGGCATAGTACTTGAACTGTGCAGACCACATCTGGATTCGCTCGGTCGTTCACCTGCACTGGAGACCAAAAACCCATTTAAAAGATCACGTCGAGCAAAACACTAATTACACCATGCATGTGCAGATTATGGCAGAGCTAGCACAAAACAAATGATAAGGCATTGACAAACCCCCAAGAATGGGAAAAGACGAAGGACAACAGAACACATAGAGTCTCAACTTTGTGTGTTGTGTTGTGTTGTCCTTCGTCTCTTCCCCAGTCTCGGGGGTTTCTCTTAAATTATGTTAAACCTTCACCAGCTCGTTTGCGCCCTAACTTTTTGTGAGGCATTGATTTTTCTAACTTTTCTCACACAATTAAAGCCTGTCATCAAAACACATGTGTGGCGAAATGGGCTTATTTGGGGAAGCAATGTACCTGATAAAATATGATTTTTGTCCCAAACCCAATCAAATCAATTTGCCAACGCAGTGTTTACAGAAACTGTACTAATGTACGCAGCTCCCATTTTTGAGGTGCTAATGTACTAATGTATGCACATCTCACTTTTTGAGAACCGCAACTTTTGTACTAATTTGCAAAAATTATTTCGAGCAGCTCAAAGTTCAGATTTCATCAAAGTATGTCTTCCAACAAAACATTCTTGAGAAGGAGTGGATTGGGATAATAATGTTACGTACTGCCCCACTTGCCAGTCATTACCATAAAGTCCCAAACAAACACCCATCCCTGGTAAAGAGATAAAAAATATGAAATATAGGGTAGTCAGCATTTCAGGGCATGACAGTGGACATTTATACAAAAATGGGCAGTCAACATGAGGGAACCTGCTAGTAAAACATAATAAATCGATACCATAGGCATTGATTTTCGATGCAAGGCTGCATTCCATAGTGTTCTTTCTAGGCTTTAGGAACACTATCATAAGTGACTTTATCAATCAATGCAGGAAACAATTTTCAACATACTGAACATACTATTGCTTCATGGCAATAGTACTAGCATCAACAGCCTACATGGCCGCATGGCTTTCATCGTCATCGCTGCAAGCTAGGTGGCGCAAGCTGACACCCAGTACATGGTGCGTGCAACCAGGCATGTGTGTGTATGTGCCGATGGTTTTCTGTTTCAGTGCTGTTTAATAATTATATGTCCTCGTTTGAAGGCATTGGCTGACGTATGAATAGCCTACACTATGCAAACGTCTGGTCTTTGCCTGTCACTAGCATTATAAGAAAATAAGATCTGTTACCTTATTCCCATGTGGTAGAAGCACTCAAAGAATCCGCTGTCCACCTCCCAGTTGCCCCTGGAGGGACTTTCTTCAAAGGGAAGAAACTCTGGCCAGCCGAGACGGTAGTAGAGCTGTTGGCACAAGCGACAACCGCAATGAGCCTTCAGGAACCTCAATCCTCCCTGCTAAAGTAGTTCTTCAAAAGGTTCCCATAGACTAAAACAGTGGGCACGTCTTAAAGTGTGCAGCCTAAAGCATTTCTTTATAATCTTAAATAGGACCACGGTAGTAATCTCTCTTAGGTGGAGTCATTATTAGGGTCTCCCTGTTATCGAGGTTTATCTTTCGTAGACTTCAGGGGTGTTTTTATTGGGGTTTTGTCGGGGCTTGCGTCGAAGGAAGTAGGACACGGACTTGGAATGCTGCAACCAGGGATGGGCAGTATTTCAAATACAAGTATCTTAAAGACGTATTTCAAATACTTTGTGTATTTTGCATTTGTATTTAATTAAAAATTGGGTAATGTATTTGACGTGTGTATTTAAATACTAAAACGTGGGTATTTCAAATACCATTGTATTTAAATACAATTTTGTGGGAGAAAATACATCCCTCAAATTTATTGTCACTGTCCAGAGCAAGAAGAAAACTACGTTCTGCACCGAATGCAGTGTCTCCCAATCAAGCACAAGCGTTTAGTGACTTTGTGATTACAGTGCTACTCCAGGGCAAGAATAGTGATGAAATCAACGTTCACAGGCAGACTGGCTAAATAACTGCCAGTGACAACTTGTGATGCTTTCCAGCCTGATTTCCATCCATATTTTTGCCTGGAACATTCTAAATGCGCGGGTCGTCCAGATTTTCGTAACTGGCGCGAGTTGCAACAATAAAAAATTCTCTAGCTAGTGGTGCGCGTCTTGGTCGTCTCGGTTCTTTGTTGGTCTATACCAAAATATAATCGACAAAAAAAGCTGCTTGAAGCTCTGTACTTTTTTCACCTATTACATCCAAGCTGATTAAATTTTTTTGTGATTATATTTCTAGTACGTTACTAGAGCCTCGCACACTAACTCCCGAGTGTGCGATGCAAAATTAAAATGAGATACCCAGAAACCCGTTGCAGGTGCCCTGAAGTCGCTGACGCAAATTTTGAGGAATGTATTCGGAAAAGTATTTGGAGGAGACCAAATACATTTGGTTGTATTTGTATCTTGTACTTAAATGCTTTTTTGGAAATGTAATTAGATTTGTAATTAAATACATTTTTGACGAAGTAATTTGTATTTGTATTTCGATACATATTTGCATGTATTCTGCCCATCCCTGGCTGCAACTTCTGCAGAGCGTATGTGTCACCCGTATGCTTGGAAGGCCGGAAGGAAACAAGAAAGAGGTATGCGGCTTCGAGAAAAGAAGCAGCCTCGGAGACAGTTCGGTGGAGGCTTTTTTCCGGTAAACACAAAATGAAGGTGTAAAGATATTTTTTCTGTGAAGCTTGGGCCTTTTTTATTCAAGGGCAACTTCGATTAGAGTTTTTATTTTTTATTTTTTATTTTGTTTACCCCGATTTTGATAAAACTGACTAAAGGGGCAATGTTCGGGATTCATTGGTATTTATCGGAAACACGGAACCCTAATCGTTATCGATTAAGGCCCGTCAGCACAGAGCTAACTTGGTACTGAGACAGTGCAGACCCTAGTGCTGATGCAGTACTGGCTTTGCATTATTTCAATACTGTTCTGCATGTGTGAACTTGCCTGAAATAAAGCTTGTGCCAAAAAAGATAATTTTTTTTCTTTACTCGGTGGTCAAGACAGGGCCTGGCTTGAAAGGGAGCACGAAATGAGTTTTTAGCTTTTTTTCAAATGACGACCCCAATTAATCGTCAATGTTCATAGAACCTGGAGCAGGAATTTGTTTTTGTTTTATTGCATCCAGTTTTGCAAAAAAAAAGAAAATTGATGAAAACTGAAGTCTGCTTTTCTCCTCATCTCGACCGGTCTCAGCCACCAACATGGGAAATCATGCGGCCGTGACGTAAAGTATGCTTTTCTACCGGAAACGGAAGTTCGCCCAGCCGAGCGAAGGAGCTGCATCCGCCAAGCTTCGCGTTGCATCGGAACGGCGTTTTCGCGTCGACGTTTTGACCCAAGAACGTCATGTACTGAGGTTTCTATGAACGCTGATTGCTTCGTAGGACTCGCTGGTCCGCGACGCTTGTGCAATCAACGCCATGGCTATGAATATGTCGCAGCTGGGTGAAGTGCAGCTTGAAATGTTTCGGTATAGTGAAAGTGTGGGCCTTGTTCCATACGCCAAGACGCCCATGCGGCAAAACAGGTATTTGGCCGGTGAAGGCTTCGGCGCCAGAACCGGCCACGGAGGAGTGGCGATTACTCAGTACAGAATGTTGTGTCCACGTTTTGGCTGCAAACACCGTGACTTACCCCACTGAAATAGTGCATATTCACGACCAATATTTCGGACAGCTTGAAGTCCAAAAGTTTTATTATTCGGACAAAATTGTCACGAGCGATCAGCGGGAAACATTGCCGAGAAGTGGCCATTTTGAATTCTATGTTGGCTGCAAATTAATGGGCTTGGTTTGGCAGCGCTACTTGAGTACTCCTGAGTCCTACCGCTAGGTGACGCTATGCTAGCCCTTTTTTTCCATTTAGCTGCACATCATCATCATCATCATTAATCATTTTGATTTGTTTCCTTCCATCCCTTTGCGCCTCCGCGGCCTCCGTCCCACTTTCGTCTCGTGTCACCAGTCGCCATTTTGTGCTCATGAATTTGTGCCTCTCATCTCGTTCGGACAACGCTGGCTTGGACATCATGGCCCCGTCTGTTCTTCTGCCACCGCAATGTGTCGTCAAGAAGCACAGAAAGTACTCGACCATAACGCTAGAAAAGAAGGCAGCGATTCTCAAGCTAACAGAAAGTTGCCGAACGCAAACAAAGGCATAACCTAAAACAAGGCACGCAGGCGTAACCTGAAGCAAGGCACTATTTACGGCTTTCCACTTGGAAGCAATAAAGGCAAGTTTTTCATTCTGCTGATTTTTCGGACTGCTCCATTATTCGGACATTTTTTCGGTCCCTGCAAAGTCAGAATAATCGGTCGGCGACTGTAATATAAATTCCTAATGGAATTCCTCGTGGAGAGACCCCTCGTGCTCTTGTTGACGCTGCTATTTACGCAACCAGATATTGAGCTCTGGCATTTCCGTCGAGGGTTCTCATCGGTGTTTGCGAGCCCCGTTCGTGTGACACACAACTCATATCCAATACAGAAACTAAATTCAGCTGACATACTCGGGTAAAAAAGGGAAAAAAGACTCCCAATACTGTGAATGTTGTGGTTACTTTGCTAGGTGACACAAGCTACCACCGATTACAAAAAGTTCCGCCACAACTTATTTATTCATCCACCTACTTATATACTTATACACTCAACATCATTGTGAGTGTTTAGGGGAGAGAGTGTAAGATATACCGTAAAATACTGGGCAAGCGCCCACTCAAAATTTGGAGATAATCACGAGAAAATAGGGGATGGGTGCTTGTCCAATCATTCATTTTACATATAAATGTACTGTGCATATCTGTTTAGATATTAAAAATTTGGGAATGGGTGCTAAGTGTGGAATGGGCAGATGTGCGGTACTCTACGGTAGTCCGCTTTTATTTGCCAAAATTTTATGCCAAAAATTAGGATTTAGCTTTCCTAATCTTGCGTGCTAATTTTCTTTTGATCCCATAAATCGTATGCAATATGCAGTCAGTAAAATTATGTCTCAAATCGTTTAATGAACCCTTTAAGGGAAATGCGTTGTTACACCGAGACATAGTGCCTGACAATCAAGGAAACAGCAAAAGTTAAGGAAATACAGAGAGAGAATGAATGCAACCATTGACAATAAGTCGAGGAAGCTGTTCTGAAACGGAACAAAAGATAAAAAAATGGATGCAGAAGCGTAGTACACAACTCACACAGGGGGAATGACTAGACCTCGAAGGCTTCTCATGACAGAACGCATTGCTGCTTGTGACTAGGTTAGACATTGACGATCTGAAAAAAATGCAGGGCCAGAATTGAAAATACCAGAGGGTGAAAAAGAGTCACAAAATGACACTTGAATAACAAGCAATTCAACAATCGTTTGTCTTAAAAAGTGACACTGGAACTGTAGCTGAAAGAGAAGATAGTGCAAACAACTCATTGTTTATGAGCTCAATATGTTGCCAATTTTACCAAGCTTGAGGTCTGGAATATACTACACAGGTTCAAAAAGTTGCGAGACGAAAAACTGCTCCACCTCTTTATAAAATAGCCAGCTTTTGGTAATCCGCTTAAGGATTGTTTTTTGGAAAGAGAGAGGGTAGATTAGCATTTGTGTAGGCTTTGTTCAACATGTTCACCTCTCATATCACTTCTCGAGTTCACTTTTCAAGGAAACAGTCAATGAACTGTGTCCATAAGGCCACAGGATTTTGTAGCCAGGCACAAGTGGTATAAGGGTATACAGTAGAAACTCGTGGATATGTTTTGAAGAAACCGCGAGAAAAAAACATATTACCCGGGAAAACATACTATCCAAACTCACCATTTTCAAGCACAAAAAATATTGGTCAAAATCAAGGTCTGTTATAACAAGCTTAGACTGTATTGCCTACCCCACTGTATAAATTGCCCTAACCCAGACAACATAATTTTTAGTGGGTGGACCCTCTCTTGAGATATTTATACAGAACTCATATTATCTTCTACTCTATTTTGTACAATTAACACACGTTTGCAGGTACGGTCGGGCCCAATCATATCGAACCCAGGTATTTTGAAATATTATCTATTTGGAACAGTCAAAGCATGACCCTTGAAACCCCAGTTTGAAAGTACAGGTGCCTTGCGTACCTGTATTGAACTTCAGCACCGGAAACATTTGATATATCAAACCATGTGCCACGCCCGCTTTCCCCGAAGACTGTCGTCACTGCACGGATTGCACGCGCTGAATGACACTTAAAGACCAACGACCACAGTAAAACCTCGTTATAACAAAATGGGATATAACAAACTAATGAATATAACAAAGCAATCATAATTCCCCTTGCTAGCTAATAGTGGGAAGAAATGGACATTGGCTATAACAAACTAATGGTTATAACGAAATAATTACGACAGCTCCTTCAACTTTGTTATAACGAGGTTTTACTGCAGTTCGCGCTTTCCACTTTTCCGCCGCTTCTTCCTCTCCCCCCTTCTACCCTGTCCACCGTTGCCTGTTTCCTCCTCCCCCAGGGTGAGGAGGATCTTCTGCCTTGCAGAATCTCGAGTCTGGTCGTCGGCCTATAACGGGCAGCAAAAGGCACGAAGGGGCAGAGGAGAAAAACGACACACTGCCTTGACTTCTAGCCTTTGCCACCCCCCCCCCCTTCCCAAAATAAAATTTGTTGGTTAGTTGAGCATGTAGACAATGGCTGTGCAATCGCGCTTTGAATACTATGTTTATCTTTGTTTACCTTTTTTTAGTTGCCGTTTTTGCTTTGCCATATATTTTTCTTTTTGCTGTCTGATTTTAAGTTGGCATGTTTCTTTTGCTTGCCTGACCTTTTTTTTTTTTATGAGTAAATACATATATTTTTTATTCACCTCTTTTATTTTTATTTTATTATTATTTTTTTTGAGTTTTGTTACATGTGTTGCCGAGGTCGTGGCGGCGCTCACTGTTCCAATTAACAACACTTCAACGAAGTTTTATTTAGCGGTCCTTAGGTCCTTTATATTTGGTAAGCTCCCATTTGGTACAATTTTCAATTTCAGCAGAGAGGCTTTGAAGTTACAACTGCAGCTTAAGTTGCGATACTTTTGTACATAGAACTATCATTATATCAAGCTATCTTGTGATCCCCTTTGAATTCAATATATCCGGGTTCTATATTATTGTTTGCAGCAGGACTTGCCCCACCAAACTTTCCCAACCAAAATTTATAGGACTACTCCAAGAAGAAAAGTTTCATTGCTTCTTTTACCTACCTTACGGATTCTGTGACCCTGCGACAAGCACCATACCGCAAGCAGGAAACTGAAAATAAAATACGAAGATTCACTCAAGTGTATCCCAGTTGCTATATTGAAAGCTATCTGTCCTTAACCAGTACAGCTGCAGCATTCCAGAGGCCTCGTATTCTTAGCAACTAGTATAGACAATCTAGAAACAAGACAACAAAAATGTGTGTGCATACCTTTCGTCCCGATGACCGCTGAACAATATAATAAATATGTTTGAACCGTTGTTCAAAATTCTGTGTCATGTTCGTGTCGTGTGCTAAACAGCTTCGCTGGTCATCCCCCTTCGCAGAGTGGAATGCCTCATGATTTTTTCCATTGTAGTCTTGAAAACATGGTGTTAATTCTAATGCCAAACATTGTGTGTCCAATATGTCCAAAACTAAAACAGGTGTTTGAAAACAAATAAATAGGTATCAACAGGCCAAGATTTAGAAAAACTTCTATATATTTGATTATGAATTTCTAGTAACAAAATCAAACTTCAAATTCACTTTGAAATTTTGATGCTGAAGTGAATTTAAAGTGAACAGTGGAATATTTTCGAATTAAATACTGAATAGCTTTTCTAAACCTTTCATTATTGCGCCACGAAAATGCAGCTGAACTTGTGAATGTTGTTCGCAATCTTTTTTTTGTCTATTTCTAAGCTAAGGTAATTTTATATTCTACTATATTTATGAACTGCGGCCAGGCGAAGCATGCCTCCAAGGCAACTGGGAGCAAGATTGCAAAGGCGAAGGTTAGGGCACTCGACACGTCGAAGGTGGCCCACAAGCGACACAAGCTGGAAGTTATCATCCGGGAACAGTGCAGCCTGGATGGTAAGGGTGTCACCTATGCTCCAGGTGAATTCTAAGCCCCTGGGACCCACTGAAAATAAGGATACCTCAAGTTGAAACGTCAAATGCTTTTTTCTCAGTTTCACTTTTTGGCAGGAATTGTCATCTCAAGAAATGTTGCATTATTTTACATTCCCAAAATGGAAACTCCATTCAGTGTCCCCCTGGGCTAGAATTTTGTGAAAAACAAAACAAAATACATAAAAAAAAAAAAAAAAAATCTCTTTTTTTCATTATGAAAACAAAGTATTTCTAAACACACAAAAATTTAAAAATGATTGTTTTTATTGTTAGGTGTGTTTTTTTCCTTAGAATTGCAGCTTTTATTATTGATTTGTACCTTAACTAACAGTATGTGTGTTGTACTTCACAATAAAGCAAAAACTTTGTGAATTCCAGTTATATTTTTTCAAGGGTACATTTCCTAACAAGGTCCCTTTTATCTGGAGTTTGAGGAAAATAGTGTGTCGTAAAAATTGGTCCATAATGCTGAAATTTAGCAGGTTATCCTTTCGCACAGTGTTCAATTCACCCAGTGAATTTGGCTTGATTTGGGTAAAGGGTTAAAAAGTCGACCCCTCCAGGCCATATCTGTTTGCTGACGACTGCATAACGTTTTCTGAATTAACAAATCCGTCAGAACAAATAAAGTGTCAAAGTGCAATAAATAAAATCTTAAAATGATATAACGACTGGCAAATGCTTGTTGATATGGTAAAACCGTTGCCAAGACAATAAGTAGAAAAATAGACAAATCAACCGCTCATACAACATCAATGGAAAAATTGCGCGCTGTAACAAAGCGTGTTGTTATAGCGCGTTACAGCGCATTGTTACAAGTCACCTAGCTGTGTTTGGGAATTTGTGTTTGTCCTTTGTCTCACTTGTTCCCGTTCTCCAGGGATTATTATCATTATTCTTGTCAAGCTCGCTTGCATCTTTGCAATTAATTGCATTATAATCAAGAGAAGCTCTCGCCTTACAACGAACGCATCGTGGAAGTTTGTTGTAAATGGTTTTTGCTATATCGAACTGGTCGTAGCGTTTCCTGCTGTTCGTTATAAATGGGTTTGACTGTAATGTACCAAATAGTAAACAACATGACGAAGATAGAAAAAGCTAAATACCTTACTACAAACGACAGGCAAACACCCCGTTTGAATCATAGGGAATTATTCAAAGTATTCCACTCTAAAAATAATTGCTTCAAATTTTCATTATTTTCAATTGCCGTTGAGGAATGGAAAAGCTTATCTAAACACATTGTTCACGCTAGCTCGCTCTCCTAATTTGTCAGCGATGTTGAAGTGCTTTTAATGCAACAACATCATTGTTTGCTTCTTGTTGCAGTTGTGCTTGTTACCACCCTACAAAATTCCTCAAATGAAGATTACCGTAATATCCCGAGTCCTCGCCCACCCCCCTAACGCCTGAAATTCATTAAAAAAGTAGGGTGGGCCATGTCTCGGTGGGTGAGCACAAACACTTGAAAAAAAGAGGAAAAAACCGCCTATTTTTCTCTGCGTATCTAGCGCTGATGCACAAGAGATACATCAAACTCAAAACTCGTTTTAGTTTCATTGTTTTATAGAAAAAAAAAGTGCTCACGAAAGAATATTTTACTATAGCGAAGTCCGTTGCTTGCATACGCGCTAGAAACACCGCCGATCTGCATATAGCGCGAACGTATGTTCCGTGAAAGAATGTCACCACTATGTTCTCCTAGTTAGTAAAAAAAGAAAGAAAAGTCTACAAGAAAATAGAAAAACCGACCAGGCGCAACGAGCGAGCGAGCGAGCGAGCGGACCAAAGATGCGACCAAGAGCAACGCTGGGAAAGCGGGAAAGCCGGCGGTCGTGTTGGCAAATACTTTGGCGTCGGGTGCCTTGTCAATCGCAAGCTCTTGCACAACTTTCTTGTTTGGTGCGTACATACGTGCGTCCTTGCACGGCGGGCTATCAATGCACCGTAGGGACGCTCTGCAAACGTCTGTGTGGGGCGTTCCAGCAACGCTTTATTTACGCGTTGGCTTTGCCTAAAATATTGCACAACCGCGGTCGCGACGGGCGGGAGGAAGGAGCGGGTTCGCGGAGATCTTACTTCGGCGGAGACAGACTTTGACCTAAAACTCTGCGGTTACATTAACAAACTCTTATTTTGTTATCTCCATCGTTTTCTTTTCGCACGGATACACGACCACTTTAGGGTCGCTCACAGAGGAAATGCGTAAAAAAAAAGAAGTCTTTCCCTCCTTCGTTTTACTTTGTCACGGACGTCCTCCAACTGTAAGGTCCGTGGCCGCGTTATTCGGGTAGGAGGAGTGTTCGTGGATCGCAGAGTCCGCGCTGGGGTATTTGAAGGGGTGGGCGATGACTCGGTGCTTTTCGGAAATCGATATTGGCCCGAAAAATGGGGTGAGCGATGGCTCGGAGATGGATGATGACTCGGGATATTACGGTAGTAGCATTGATAAATCAATAAATAAATAAATAAATAAAAGACTAAAACCACTGCAGACTAAAATTACTTCACTAAACTTAGAAAAAAAATTCATGGTCTTCAATACCTAGGAGGAAGACTCCACTTTAAAAAGCGAGTGTTTCTTGCAAATTTCGCTAAATAATGCTTGCTATGATGAGTTTAACACAAAAGTTTAGCGTAGGAAACCATGCGGAGATGTCTAACCTAGACTCACGTGGTTTCTCTTGAAGTAAACTCATTGCAAGGTTTTCAGCTCTTCTTCTGAAAAACTGTAACAGGAATATAATATACACCAGTTAATCACAGTCGCCGTTATGAGTATGTCCATAGAAATGATTAATCATCACTCTATAAACCAGAACTTCCATTGAAAAAAAAAGCAATAACACTTTCCCAACAGAAGGCGTACAAATCAGTGCATGAAGTACCCAGTTGCCACAGTTACTATGTCGCAACCATTTATAACGAAGTCAGTTATAACAAAACAGTGGCTATAGTGAAGCGATCAAAATTTCCCATTCCCATTTGCACTTTTTCAATGTACTTGTGTCTGTTTTTAGCGAAGAAAATTGAATGGCTCCCGTGGATATAGGGAAGATAAACTTTGCGATAATTTTTAAAATATTTGAATTCGGAAAGTTGACCAGATGGCAGACCGCCGCGCTTTGCTGCCCCGGCCGAGCAGCCGCTCAGAACGGGCAGCAAACGTGCTGCCAAGGCTGCCAGCGGCAGCCTCTGCATTGTCGTCTGCTCCCCACTTTTATATGGGAAGTGGCTTTTCCACATCGCACGCGAGGAGGCCGTCGCGGTATGCCAACAGGGACGTTCGAAGTGCTAGCGACAACGTATCAACGGAGACGACAGAGAGAGCCTACATTTAAGAGAGGAAAAACTGGGTTGCGTGCATGTTTATACACCGTAGAACTTGGTTTGTTGGGTTGCGTGCATGTTTATACACCATAGAACTTGGTTTGCCTCTACGGGCAACAAGTCTCCCAGCTGTAGATGAGAAACTTAGCCAGTGCAGTACAACTGCTAGCCTGGGGTCTTTAACGTGCATCAAGCAGTAGCGATACACGACTGCATGCCGGTAAGATGCTCATCCAGACTGAAAGAGGCAGGGATTGAACCCAGGATCCCTGGGTTCTGCAACAGGAGCCGCTCCAACGATGGTGAGCATTTGTAACTTAATTGCGAATGCCTCCTGGCCAGGTTGGCACAAGGTCGCCTGCATTTGGTTGTCTCATGGCAAGTGTGGCTAGAAAACCGGGCGGAGAGGCGGACACGTTTGCAGGCGGTGAATGCTTTTGACTCCTCACAGGCTGCAGCCTATTTTGCAAAGGCGGCCCACAAACCAAATGACCCCGATCAAGCAGTTGCCCCCTCTTTTAAATCTAGGTTCTCTATACCGACGAAACACGAAGTTGAGCGCGAGCTTGGTGCCATCAGCGACGTGCACACTTGTTTGTTTGCTTCGTGTTCCGTGCAGGCGTCGCTAGTCGGCGTAGTCGCTCTCTGCGCAAAAGTCTAGCTTCGTTCAAGCATCAATCAAGTCACTTATCACCACCCAACGATGGCGAGTCCCGGCACGGCTTGCACCTTGACAGGGAAGACGAAGGCAATCTCCTCGAAACAAAAGCGTACCGTCTACCGTGGATCTACTCCGCGGCAGCAGTCGCAGCTGTCGACACAGTACGTACTTAGCTCGCAGGATCTTCTTTCCATCGGAGCTTCTCGCAATTGGTGAGAAGCGGCTCTGATCTAGCAAAGAGCGCGTGCAGGGAAGCCTCGATTGCTTTCTGCAAGCGCGACGAACGTGTTCCGTGACAAACCGTGTTGTCTTTTTTTTCGCGTGATACTCTAATGGAGTTTAGACATAATGAAGAAGTGGATGTAGGAAAGTGATTTCAGATTCCCGTTGACTTTGTTATAACCGGTTTAGACAGTATTAATATTCAGGAGGTGGCTTGCTTACCAGAAAAAAATGCTTCAACAAAACATTACTTGCTTTATAGTCAAAGCTGGAGCAAGAGACTAGGTACACATCTGCTGCATAAATTGTTGATGAAAAACTTCAAGAAGCCTAGCTTTCAATAGCCAAGCAGCCTCACTTGTCAGTCCAATTCATGATGGTAGAGAAGACGACGCACCTTGTATGTGACGTAGAGCCAGTAGATACACAGGACAAAGCCCTTTTTCCAGATATCTCGGAGCGGCACCAGTCCCTCTTCATAGTCCCGCTGAAAGGGCACCTTCAGTTCTCTCGGCTACAGAAAGGCAAGGTACAGTTACACTGGCAATTAGTGTGCTCACTAATAGCTAGTACTACTGTCTTCAGCTACACAACGAAAATTAGCAAATTTGATAGTTGTCAAATAACAAAACAAATTGGGGGTTTTTAATACCAGATTTTCTGCTTAAATACCCTCACTCAAATTCTTAACATATCAAAAAGAGCATCAAAGCATAAATGCTTATTTTAAAAAAATCAGATGAAAACAATTAAGATCAAAAATCAAGAGTTAGTACTCCCTGACCACTGCAAGCTCTGGACAAGACAGCCATCACTCAGTTCAAAAATTGCAACTTCAAAGCCAAATCTTGAGCATAAGCTTTCTAGAGTTGCCCATAACACGAATTAGATGGTGAATCAAGGAAAGTCAAGGTTTCATACAAACATACTAGTGTCCAATGTCAGGTGCAGTTGCACAAAAAAAATGACCGCATCTCCACGTGGTGAACGATGTTGATTGGGGCGAAGCTCTGGTGGTGCTGATGATACTGATTTTATTGTTCATAGGTAGTGCTGATGGTGCTGATTTTTTTTTTATTGCTCATAGGTAGTGCTGAGTTCCGGGATGCGTTCCGACTTCATTATTACTGCTTTACGGTCGGTGAAATGCAGAGCCAGTGGTTCTTCTGGCGGATCAGTTTGGATCCGCTAGAAGCTGTGGGAACGCGCCTCCACCGCTTAAGTCAACGGTCCATGTCAGAAAGAGAATGTGTGGTATGGAACGTGGTTATATACGCATTTGAGCATTTGACCGCAGCGCCCTCTCGTCTATTAACGTTGAGCCAATGCATGTAAAGTTTAACGCGATTATATACGCATTTGACTGCAGTGCCCTCTCCTGTATACAGTCAAACCCGTTTATAACAAACAGCAGGAAACGCTACAATCAGTTCGATATAGCAAGTAGTTCCATATAGCCAAACCCATTTTCAGCGAACTTCCATGGTGCGTTTGTTTTAAGGCGAGAGCTTCTCCTTCCCTCATCTCTTCGCTTCCACCTTGTAACAAAACGCTAAAAAGTATTTTTTTTTACATGCATACAGCGTTTGTTCTTTCAGCTTATCTCATTTTTTGAAGCACCTCTTTTCGCAAACAACCACTTTGGGAAAAAAAAATTTTCTGTGCCTGCATGCGGTGTTTTTTTAGCTTTCTCCCCTCTGAATCGCCTGTCTTTGTCAACTTTGTTTGCGGCTCGAGCTTTTGGAATTTTCTTTCTTGCCTAGTCTTTTTAGGGGAAGGGACACTCCAGAAGACGATTGTTTGCACGTTTTTGGAAGCCTTCCCGGGGAGAAAAAGTTTGATATAGCCAATATTTTGTTCGCTATAAAAAGTACTTTTTACATGCACTTTTATTTAAATTTTCTGTGAGTTCGATATCGGCAATAATTCGCTGTACGTGGGTTCGTTCTAAACGGGTTTCACTGTAGACGTTCAGCGGCTACATGCAACGTTTCATCCATGACAGAAACCCCAGCTCTTGAGTTACTACCACATGTCGGAGCCCCCTACTCATCCCGCAGTCGTAGCCGGACAGACGGACGGACGGACGGACGGACAAGGCTAGACCCTGGTGAGCTTCACCCCTAAAAAAAAAAAAAAGACTAGGCCACATGAATGCATGTAGTATGATGCTGTTAGCATGAACATGCCATCAGCAATCTCACATTTTCCTCACAGGGAATTCGTGAACGCCCATTTGTGCCCACTAAGTCAGTGCAAAAGGACAAGCACATTCAACCACAGTAAAGACCTTTCCACCGTCCGTCGCATGGGTGCTGCCATCTTGGAATTGTGCCTCGGCAAGAGCATTGCTTTGGCGTTTTTCGTCGCATTTCACCGCGGTTTTATGCCTTGCTGTGTAAACTGTCCGATGCCTATCTCTACTACCTAATTCCATGCCGTCGTAAGGTGCACAACTTCCGCATCCGATCTTATTACACATTTTGACTACTGACATTGTCGGCGTACCGGATACATGTGTGGAGGCTAGAGGAGGCACAGGAATCGGCCTTGGCACGGGCACACATTGAGTATGTATAGACCGACACACTGTTTACTAACAAGGCCGGGTATGCCCACACCAGGTGTGGGCACTGCACGTGCGCAGAAACCAAATTCGCGGGAGCGGGAAGTGAAGTGTCTGCGCATGCGCTGTGCCATTGACAGCGCCACCGCAGCTGCGTGACCTCAGGGCCGCGTGTTGGTCTATAGATGACTCTAATGGGGAGTTTTCTTAGTGGATTTGGAGAGATTTTAGAAGGTTTTTTTGTTAGCGACTTTTTGGATGTGAAAGCATGCGCTCGCATGTATACCCCACTAAAGGCGCGAGCATGGAGCATTTTTTGGATCGCTCAGGGATGAAACTCACGAAATGTATTTGGGAGCAGCCACGGGAGCAGCTGAAACCGCTGTTTTGGAGCAGGTTGGGAGCAGCTAAAGCATGAAGCAATTTCAATTGTGCTTAGCAGCACAGATGAACATGAGTGGTTACAAACCTAGGTAGATGGGATAACAGTGTAACAGATACGAAAACTTAAAACTTTGTGAGCCTTAATGAGAACCAAAAAGCAAGTACCATATGTTTCTGAAGATGGTGTCCTTGATATTTTCTGAGTGGCTTTCAGCTGCTCAAAATGAAAACCAGCACTGCTTATCGCACAACCCACGTGCTCGACATAGTAATTATATGTGCAAACCACGTTACGTGCATAAGCAACGGATGTGGAGTTGCATGGAGGAACAGGGCAACAAATTTCGAGTTTATCCTATTGCGCAACTCAATATTGAAGCAGCAGACTACGATTAACGGAGTTATCGTATTCAAAGCGATTAGCAGGAGCAAGGTTAAAGTACGCCGGGCAGATCTACAGCTCGCGTGAGAGCTGCTGGCCGGCAAGGTTTCGGATCAGACCGCATTTCAGTTCTATCAAATCACAATTTATCTTGCGGCAATACGGTTCCAACTTCTAATGATGAAGTGCTAAAAGGAATCTTTTGCTCATTTGTTTTCAACTGGCTGACTTCCGGAACCCGGGCTGCGGAGCCTCAGGCAATCTGACGCTTAGCTACTCGACCTCACCTCGGCCGACTTGCTTAACCGCTGATGGTTGAAGAATAACAATCCAGTCGCAGGTGGAGTAGCGCTTGGAATCCGATCCCCGAGTTTTTTCGCGCGCTTCCGACTCGGGATACACAGGGAGAATAAACAGAACAAAGGATTGCAAGGTTGACCAAGCTAAACACACTCATAGTTGCCAATCGAGTCGATCAAAACCGAAAACAAGACAAAATATAATTTTTTTTTGGCGCATGTTGTGCGATTTGGTGCATAATGGCACAAGGTACTGGCTGTGGCACAGCTTCCGCAAAATGGCGCAGGATGGCGCAGACAAATGCGTCTGGCACAAAATGGCGTGAATGGCGCAGCCGTTCCACCCCTGATCGCTACAAATCTACCGAGGGAATTCCGCAAACAACGGCACGAGGGTTGAGAGGCAAGTTACTTATAACGCTGCAAATTTTTTCAGTGATAGTGGTGGAACATTTGCAATAAGAAGCGCATCTTATTACGCAATAGAATCTTAAAAAAAACAAATGCAAAAGAAAAAACGGGAAAAAGATGCCATAACATGAATTTTCAACAAACAATAAAAATTCCTAGAGCTATATTTACAGTGCAAAACAAATTTGTAGTTGGCGGTCGAGAGAGCAGCCACTGGTCACGTTGTAGACATGTGTGATGCTGCGCCACTGCCACCGCCACCGCAAGTTACGCTGGAGCTGTTCAGTGCCACCGCTGAGGTCCCCAGTACCTCCATACCGCCACCACACACTGAGCGCAGCGCGCCGCTGCCGTAAATTTTTGTCCGGCGCGCAAGTCTATTACTGGGGCTTGCACTCTTTCAGGTGCTTGCTTTCGACTCAAGAAGTTACTTATTAATCTTTGTTTCGTTATTTCGCTTGAAACGAAGATTAATAAGTCACTTTTAGAGACCATAGGAAGCTCCCGAAAGAGCGCAAGCACCAAGTGACCATAATGGTCAGTCCCGTGACCATAGAGGCCACTTTCCGTGGGCTCCCACGGGCGCAAACTACAAATTTTTTTCGCGCCTTAAATATAGCTTTAACAAATTTTTTTTTAGTTCTAAATTTGTTTTTTGATTTTCTTTTCTTAACCCTTTCATGGTGACTGACGTACCTGTACGTCAGCGCGGGAGCATCCCGCGTGGTTGCTGACGCACCGGTACATCCGCGACTGCTTATTAAAAAATTCGCGCCTCTGCTTGAACGGGTGCGTTCGTGGGGACGTGCTGCTATCTGGTGGGTTTGTAGGGAACTATGACTGTATAACTCCGGTCGTTTTTGTTTTGGCACGGTTTTTTAAATTGCGAAACTGAACGCTCTGTGCAAGTGATACTTTTGAGATGGCCGCCCGTGCCGGCTGCTCGGGGGTAGCGTAGTGGAGATTGGAGCGATGGCTCTTCGGGTGCAGACTTTGAACTTTTCTCAAACTCTGAGTCGGATGACAGCTGACATCCCATGAACAACTGGAAACCAGCTCGGTTTGGAGTCCGGAGTCTGACACACAGCTGCACTGTCTGCTAGACCGTCTCAGAAGCGGGCGCGTCGAAGTTCTAGTCTTTTTTGTTTCGTTCAGCCACCAGCGAGTGTGCCGCAGATGTTTTGAAGCGTGTGTACTATTTATTTTAAGTCTTACATTTTTTTATGCGACAATAAACTAGTGTATACTCTTTGCTATCGCATCAAGTAAAAAAAACCGACCGAGGGGGCGCGTCTTTGGACAAAAAATGCGACCATGAAAGGGCTAATAGGCTGTTAAAAAAAATTACTATTTTCCTTTGCATATGTCCTTTGATGCACAAAAAATAGTCAACGTAAGGAGCCACTATGTGTGTTTCTCAAAAGCATTGTGCTCCGCCTTCATAACGAATCAAAAAGTGTTGCTTTTGATTATTTGAGAAAATTATTTTTGCAGTATAAACATTTGCTTGATTGGTTTATATCTGAATTTAAAGAAACTTTACATTGTCCTCAGCCCCAAGTCTGCAGTCATTCACGCGCTTTAATTATTTTCTGAAGATATCTAGTTTAAATAATTTATTTAAACACGATAAAGTGAAAATAGTGTCTCAAACAGCTTGACAGTGCCTGAAGTATGCCATATATAGGCTTCCGTGTTTTTGGACAAATTCAAAAAGTTGAGAAAACTCTCGCCGGCAAAATGTTTGTCACTTTGGATTCATCTAATAAACTCTAAATTTCAATGTTCCAATAAAATTCTTCAATTAAGTTTGGTCAGCACACAGAAACGGTCCTGAGAAAATGCCACCCCAATTTCCTTTCAAATCTCGGATCGTTGACAAAAAGGCGTCTTGCCGTTCATCTCATAAAGGTTTTTTCCGGACAATGCGTAATCATACTTCTGGGTCGAGACAAAAGCCAGTTTCAGACTCCAGTTTCAACCAGACTATTTGTGATTCTTCGAAAAAGGAAAGGTTGTGTGTTTGTAATAGTGAAGGCTATGGCCCATAGAGATATGAAAGAAGGGGGAAAAGGGTGGAGGGGGCGTGGCAGTTGAAGCATTTAATATCACACCTTTTACCACACCCCCCTGCACAGACGCGGGTAAGGTGATGGAATTTAGGATGAGAAGAAAATGAGTTTCCCAGAGACTACTCCATGAGTTTAAGTGATTTGAAGGTGTCGACATCTTTCGAAGCGATACCTGTCTGCAAGTTTTGAAATGGGACAGAGTGGAATTGAAAATGGCAAGGGCACCATTCTAAATCCAGATGAATAAATATAATTTGATGCTAGCACATTCTTTTGAATCTAGCAGACGTTTGGGATATTATTTATTTTTATTTTTGAAAAATAAAAAACGCTGAAAACTTTATCTTCAAATATAAAAAAATAAAAAATCTAAAAAGAATAAAACTTTAAAATTTCTGAATTTTTGGCAAAAAAATAAACTTCGAAAAATACTTTTCGACTTTGAGGGAAAATGAACTCCAAAATCATGGAACCTTAGCACTATCTGAGGCTGTGAAGGAAGTGTCTGCATAGAAATAACCCAAGTGCGGAGTTGTCGATGTTAGATTTACTTTCGGCGGCAAGCGAACGCGGCTGAAAGTAAAAAGCGTCTGTTCAAACAAATAAAGATCAGTCTACACAGATTCATGAAGTGGCACCTGGCATTTGACCTTGCCTAAACTTACCGAAGGTCACTTCTAGTAAACCTTTTCATTTTCACAAATTTTATGAACAGATGCCAGACTTCACTTGAAAGGTCTGTGACTTATCTCATGTCCTAAATATGTCATAAGGAAATGGCAGAATAATAAGTAGTTTACTTCCAAAGGTCAACCTTTTAAAATTCTGTTATAATACTTTAGCAGAACCGATAGTTGAAAACATTTCCTACTCAGCCTAAGATGAACCATCGCAACATCTCTAAAATCTTTAATTTCTCAAATTAAAAAAAAAAAAAAAAAAAAAGTGGAGACATTATTGTTCTTTTTTTTACATTCTATGTGTCATTGCAGAGGGGTTTTCTAGTCGGTGACGTTGACAAAAGTTTGCTTTCTCATAAACTGAACATGAGCACTAAACTTGCCCGAGTTCATCTGTTTTCCGCAACTTAGCACACTGTCAAGCAGGTTAAAAGCGGCTTACGCTTTTGCATGCATCCATGCATTAGACTTTTTATTAGGTTATTTCTAAGGAAAATATCGCCAGTGGCCTGAGCACAGCCGTAGGCAATGGTATTCCTCCTCTTGCATCAGCTCAGTCATTTTGCCGCCAAACATAATCATACGAAGCTGTTTTTAAAAACGTCCCCAATTTAGGCTCGAAATCACTTCATAGTTTTTGAAGTGGTCACAATGTGAGAGACACATTTGCATCAAAAAATCAAGCAAGGACTACATAACATACCAACACAACCGTGAACGCACCGAAACCGAAACCAGTCAAGTTGAAGCCACCTTATGGCAGGTAACTAGTGAGATGGAAAGGTCTACAGAGGTATTTATGACAGCCTTTCAGTTCGGAAACAAGAGAAAAAAACTGGCTATTGCTTGTTTGTCCTAACTGTACCACATCCTGTACCTTTGAGATCATTCACGTCATGTAACTACCATAATATCCCAAGTTATCGCCTATCCCCCTGCCACCCGATATTCCTAAAAAAAAGGTGGGGTGGGCCATGCCTTGGTGGGTGAGCACAAAATGTTGAAAATAAAATGCCCATTTTTCTGCGCGTATCTAGCGTGGCTGCACAAGAGACACATTAAACTCAAAACTCGAATTAGTTTCATTGTTTCATGCAAAAAATGCTCATGAAGGAAAGTTTTACTATCGCTAAGTCCGCTGCTTGCATGCACGCTACAAACACCGCCGACTGGCATATAGTGCAAACGTTTGTTCCGTGAAAACACGTTTCTAACACCCGTATGTTCTCCTCGTTAGCAAAAAAAAAAAAAAAAAATGTCCACAAGAAAGTAGAGAAATTAACCAGGTGCAACGAGCGAGCGGGCGGACGAAAGAGGCGACGAAGAGTGATCCTGGGGGAGCAGGAAAGCCGGTGGTCGCGTTGGCAAATACTTCGGCATTGGGCCAAGTCGGGTGGGTGCCTTGTCAATCGCAAGCTCTTGCGCAACTTCGGCGGAAAAAGACTTTGACCCCGCGGTTACATTCCAGGATATGGGGCGTTCGCTGACCTCGCGAACCCTGAATGGGCTACTGCTTGTGTTACCTTTCTGACCTTTTTTTTTTTTTTTTTTTTTGACGAATATTTTTTTTAGCAAGACAAAGTTTTAGTCTGTTATCTCCATCATTTTCTTTTTGCACGGATGCACTACGACTTCGAGGTCGCTCGCGGAGGAAATGCGTTAACAAAGAGAAGTGTCATTTTCTTTCTTCGTTTTACTTTGTCACGAATGTCCTCCAAATGTAAGGTCCGCGGCCACGTCATTCTGGTCAGACGAATGTTCGCAGATCGCAGATTATTTCTATTGGTGAGCGATGATTCTGTGTTTCAGGGGCGAAGCTCCTTAGGGTCTAGGCTTGTCCGTCCGTCCGTCCAGGGTCCGTGCTCACATAAAAATAAAAAATGTTTGCGCAGTCAAAAGGATTCGAACCTGTGTGGGGAGACCCCAATGGATTTCTAGTCCATCGCCTTAACTACTCGGCCACGACTGTGGGACGAGCAGGGGGCTCTGAAATGTGGTAGTAACTCAAGAGCTGGGGTTTCTGTCATGGATGAAACGTTGCATGTAGCCGCTCAACGTCTATACAGGAGAGGGCGCTGCGGTCAAATGCGTATATAATCGCATTCAACTTGGCATGCATTGGCTCAACGTTTATAGACGAGAGGGTGCTGCGGTTAAATGCTCAAATGCGTATATAACCCCGTTCCATACCACACATTCTCTTTCTGACATGGACCGTTGACTTAAGCGGTGGAGATGCGTTCCCACGGCTTCTAGCGGATCCAGGCTGATCTGCTAGAAGAACCACTGGCTCTGCATTTCACCGACCATAAAGCAGTAATAATGACGTCGAAACGCAACTTGGAACTCAGCACTACCAATGAGCAATAAAAAAAATCACCACCATCAGCACTACCTATGAACAATAAAATCAGTATCATCAGCACCACCAGAGCTTCGCCCCAATCAACATCACTCACCACGTGGAGGTGCGGTCATTTTTTCTTGGAAATCGATATTGGCCCAAAAAGTGGGGTGGAAAATGACACAGGATATTACGTAGGCAAAAAAAGATGACACGTACACAAATACATGAGCACTGAAAAAGTGTACGAAAGATCCTCGAGACGGGCGACAGTTTGTTGCATCATCACCAGGTTGTATAAACAGGCGAGGCAAGCAAACACTTCCTAACCTCTCCTCCTTGCCACAATGGGTGACATTAAGTGACGATAGCACCACCTCACTGCTTCAATTCCGAGCCGTTATGAAGCATCGGCCAAGCTCGAATCAGCCGTTTCCAGCCCTGCCAAGCCAAGACAGTTGGGCATTCCACATGTAGCTCAACATCAAGAGCCGACGCTTCACTAACCTCGTGTGCGGGAGCTTGTTGAGTGGCGAACTGGAGAAACTGGTCCAACTCGGCCACGAGCTTTGGCAGGCTGCGCAAGTGCCGCACCAAGTCCTTGGCCTGATGCTTGATGCGCCGGGCCTGCTCAGTCTATGAAGTGGTGGAAACAATGACGCCGTAAGAAGGAGTGCCTGTTACGCACCTTTTACAGAGGGGAATTGAGTCCCATAGTAAATTCATACTATTGATTCCAGAATATCAGCTCAAGAGCTGCCTACAGCACTCAGGAGAGTACCATGCTTTTCAGACTGCACATCTACAAAACCTGAAACTTTAAGTGGTACGGACGATACAAGGATTTGTTTTTTCAAGCTCGTTCGGTCTGACGAGTCATGAGAGCTTTTGTTAATGATAGATTATGTTAATTATGATGTCTGTACAATGTAGCTTTCTTTCTGTGCTAATAAAGCGGGCATTTTTCGAGGAGCTCCGTGTAAGAGCGGTGTGTTATGTGGTGAATATGCACCGGGTGCAAACTAGCTAAGGAAAAACCTTTTTTTCAGCAAAACAAATCTTTCCCCTGTGGACTATAGCTGGGAAAACATGGTACTACACATATATGATACTCCTAATTTACCCTGCTCCAATCAACAAAGCCGACCTCCATTAAAGCAACTTTCAGTTATGACTTACAGCATACCTCAGGTTCCAAAACGCCAAATAAAAACAAAATAAAAGAAATCATGTTTTTTTTTGTTTTTTTTTTCTTTAAGTGAAACATTTGCACATGCACCTTTCGACGTCTAGCACCACCACGCAATGTCGAAAATGCAAGTCAGTGTCTGTAAAGCTGAAAACTTTTGAAGTAAAGAAATACATGTTGCTAACTTTTTGCATGCCACCAAAAAAACAAAGCTTTCTTTTTTTTATTTATTTTTGGAAAGGGGGGAGGGGAGTTTGGGATTTCCATGGCGGGGAGAAAGGGGACTTTGTCCATTTTTGTTTTCTAGTCTTCTACATCGTTCTTTCAAAAATGGGGCTTTGTCCCATTTTTGCTTGTAGTAGTTTATGTACAATTCACGGGCACGGACATGGCCGTTCCAGACCCCCCCCCCAGCTGGCTGGAACTATTCGGTAGTCTTTCCATATTTGTCTTCTTTTACTAACAAAAAAAGTCAGAGGACACCTAAGCACTTCTTATGAGTTGTGAATGCGAAAGCATGAATTTCGTTAGTCCGCTCTTTAGTTTGTCTGCGGCGTAGTGGCATGGACGGCCAAGTTTCGGCACTGCCGAGCTGCCGACAGTGGCCGCGCCGCACCGAGCTCGGCCATATAACCTTTGCAGAGTTTGCCTGTGCGGGAGCTGGGGCCAGGCTCGCACCACCGCACCTCGCTGGGCCCCTGCGCGCGCTGCACCGCCATGGAGAGGGCTTCTCTGGTGACATTTTTTAAAACTACACCGCAAGAAACCCAATGAAAGCCTCGTTCCTTGATGACGCACGCCAGCCAATGGGAGCCTATCCATCAGAAATCGGCTTCACTTTGCTCCTTTTGGAGAGGTGAATTTAGCTGCTGTTTTGAGTGGCTTTTTGCATGGCTTCAAATCGTGGCTTCGCTTTACTCATTAGGACAGGGAAGTTTAGCCACCATTTGGCGCGGCTTTTGGCGCGGCTTCAAAGCTGGGAGCCTTCAGATCGCGGCTTCACTTCGCTTCATTGGGAGAGGGGAGTTTAGCTGCCGTTTGGTGCAGCTTCAAAGCTGATGACGTCGGCTTGCTCCATGGGACAGAGGAAGTTTTAGAATAGCACACGCTAAAGCTTTGCATACGCAAAAAATAGTGTCGTCGCCACTGCGTATGCGACAAACGCTAACCACATTTTGCACTTTGTGTGCGCTATTTTAGCGTCCGCTATTTCTCGGAAATTGCATGCGTACGCAAAGTCTTTGCACTCCTCCAAGGAGGATTCGTGATCAGAGGTTGGCTAAAGCCCAGACGAGCACAGTTAAAAAATGGCAGCTCCCAGGGCCAAGACAGAGACCGCTATGGCAGCATCGTGACGTCGGCAGCATCTTCGCGACTGCTGTTATGAAGTCGCTGACGCGCCGACGCTCGCGAGCTCCTAAGTCCAAAGCCTCCGAGAACCATCGTTCGCGCAGAGCCCTAGAGATAAACATCCGCTCCCCTGCTTCGCGCGTAACCTAAGCGCCCCGTACCAGAGGCGTCTTTCTTTTATTTCGTTTTATCCATAATAAACGAGACCTCAGTCTTCAGCCTGACTCCAGTATGAAAGGTTGTCTTTGTGTTCTCTTTGCCAAAGAATGTAAAACGAAACATGGTGAATAAAGTGGGATCGCTCCGCGAGTCCACTAATAATTAGGAAAGCGCAGGAATGACCACAAACGAAGGAACAATAGACAAACCCTCAACTTCTGCCGACATTGGTGCTATGCAACAATCAGTAACGGCAACTTTTAGCATCTCGCCACCCGACGCCTACAGTTTTACAACACCTAACGAATGGCCGGCGTGGAAGAAGAGATTGAAGCGCTTCCACAGTGCTTCAGGACTGGCATCTCAGCCATCATCACACCAAGTCGACGCTCTCAACCACATCATGGGAACACAAGCTGAAGACGTCTTACAGACCTTCAAGCTGTCCGACACCGAGGCTCAAGACTTCGATAAGGTAATGGAGAACTTTGAACGTTACTTCATTTTCCGTAAAAACGTGGTGTACGAGAGAGCCATGTTCAACACAAAATTGCAACTGGAGACGGAAACCGTCGAGGAGTATGTCACTGGTCTCCATGGACTAGCTACTACGTGCAACTACGGACCATTGAAGGAAGAATTGATCCGCGACAGGCTGATTGCTGGTCTTCGGGACCGCAGGACTTCGGAAAAACTTCAACTGGATCCTGATCTGGACCTGCAGAAGGCTATCGCTGCTGCGTGACAATCCAAAGTGATTAAGAAGCAACGAGTGGAACTTCGACTGACAAAAGAAAAGGATGCCAACGTTGATTGTATAGCAGCCAGAAATGGAACAGCACCAGAATCTGCTCAGCGAGGAGCTGAACGTTCAAATGTTCGAACACCTACTAAGAAGACCGCAGCACCCAAACCAAAAGGCAAACCTTGCCGTTGGTGTGGTCGAGAAGCTCACCCAAGGAGCACGTGTTCGGCGAAGAACGCAGGCTGCAATAGGTGTAAGAAAAAGCGACATTTTGCAACAGTCTACATTCTTCGCCGGAGATATGCTCCTTAGGTGAGCTCTCAAACACACCAACGGCAAGGTTTGCCTTTTGGTTTGGGTGCCGCAGTCTTCTTAGTAGGAGTTCGAACATTTGGACGTTCAGCTCCTCGCTAAGCAGATCCTGATGCCGTTCCATTTTTAATACGGGACAAAGAAAACTCAGTGAGGTGGCAACGATCAGCGACAACCTGATGCTTGCGACACGCAAACATTTCTCGGCGGAGGTCAGTACTCGAAACCTCTCTTGCCGAAGCGACGCAAGCTAACACGACCGGTCGACTGCTCGCGTTGCATTCTCACGTTTAACCAAATCTAAAATCTTACTCTGGACCAAAAAACTTGCTTTTTCTCAAACTGCAGCATTTTGTGTGTGAAATAAAAATTAACTGTACCTTGATGGCATTGCAATTGCAAGATGCTTGGGATTTTGTGTTGCGGCAGAGAAATGCTATTGTAAAACTCTCTTCCGTAGCGTGTGCTAATGCGATCACTAAATTTAGCGCTAGCGTGCGCTAAAATTGCATACGTTGTTTTAAAACTCCTTAGTGCTTTCACAATAAAAACAAACTAATGAATTCGGGTTTGGGGGGGGGGGGGGGGGGGGGCAATAGACGGCAGATATCTGGTAAGGTTTAACCAAAGGAAATACTTGCACTGAAGGGAATGTTTGCATTGAGGGAGTCTTCTACTTCCTGCAAGGTGGCCTCGAGCATGTCCTCATACTTGTTGAGCGACTCATGGAAGCTGGCTTCAGAGATGGCAGCACCATTCACCATGTCCATGCAGGGTCCACGGCCAACAGTGACTTCTCCCAGGGAGAAAGAAAGCAAGGTTACCTCCATGCTGAGAGGTCACAGCAAAACTGACACCTCATGCAAACCTGAACACAGGTAAATCAATCCAAGCCTCGAATAAAATCTGACAGCTTTCTTGCATATATCATTGCTATGAGATTAGTTAGTTGTAGCAAAGCATTTCAGCGATAGTATGGGGCATGCAATCACTGAAACATTTTCGTTTCTTTGTGTCCCGGTGCCGGCGACGTCTCCCGTTCTCCCTACACGTCTCGCCAAGCTGCGTGATGGCTTCATTAGAGAAGCATTACTCGGCTGCGTTTAAAAGAAAGGCAATCTCATCGACAACAGTATAGCGAGACGAAAGTTTACGGTGACCAAAGGCTGCATTCATGAATGTAGAAGTTCGAAAAAAAGCCTTTTTCGAGTGCAAGGGCGCAAGGAATTTCCATTTCCGGTTTCGAACAAAGGAACGTTCAGCAAGACCGATCAGAACCTGTCTCGGTTTGCGAACGAACATCGTGCTCCACACCTCGCCGCAAACACTGAGTGACTGCAGGCAAATTCTATGGACTTCTGTGCTTTTGAATTGCATTACCTTAGAGTTTCGAGAGAATGCCCGCCTTGAGAAATTGCCCATCCCATTTTTCTGGCTAAATATCCTTAACATAAAAATTCCGAAACACCCACCCCTCGATTCCCGTTGGACGTCACACTAGGTCCGACGGGAATCGCATCAACTGCGCAACATGCTGTACCGGCACGTGTGACAAGCGAGTTCATAGCGGGTTCCCACGTTTTTGTCTGCGATCTGCGCGTGCGATATCGGCTCCTGTAACACGCGAGTTGTTCCCGCGTGTATGTTGCTCCGTGAAATGCTAATCTGCTGCATCCGCGGTCTGCGGTATCCGTTCTCGTGACATAAGGTTTGTAGCGGATTCCTGCGTTTTTGTCTGCAGTATGCGCACATGCTCTCGATACCATGAGAGTTGGTTCCGCGTGTAGTATATTGCATCGTGAAGTATGATTCTGCTGCGCTTGCGATCTGCGGTATTTGTTCCCGTAACATACGAGTTCGTAGCAGATTCCCATGTTTTTGTCCGTGATCTGCGCGCACAATATCGGTTCCCGTGACAGGCAAGTTTGTAGCAGGTTCCCTCGTGTTTATTGCAACACGAAACTTGAATCTGCTGCATCCGTGATCTGCGGTATTCGTTTCCGTGAGATGCGAGTTCTCGGCGGGCCTCAGCGGCTCCTTCGCATCGTGAAAGGCGAATCTGCTGCGTCTGCAACAAGCAGTATCCTTCCCCGTGACACAGGAGTTCGTAGCGAATTCCCACGTGTTTATCGCATCGTGAAACACGAATTTGCAGTGTCCAAGATTTGCGGTATCAGTTCCCGCATCACGTGGTTTGTAGCCAGTGCCAGGGTGTTCATAATAAATTTTTGATAAAGTTTTGCTGTGGCATCCCAAAAGATAGCCCACCCCATGTTTTTCACCATTTATCTCTTCATTTTGAATGGGCGTTCCTTCGAAACTTTACAGTATGTGCAGATTAAACTTTTTACCTTTTGTTTTGCAGGTCTCAGATTTCATTTTGCGTTATATGTGGGTCCGTATAATATGCGGGTTTTTACAGTACAATACATCTTGTGTTACTATTGCCCTTTTCACAATACTGAGGGAGAGGGGCAAATTTATAACCTTCACATCATCATTGACTATTGCGTTATTCTATGCTGGAAAGACCAAGGTGTAGACAGAATCATGACGTCTTTGAACATAGATATAGAAGCCACATTGTTAGTTACTAGCAGAGATCTGATATACCCTATAAAGCACACTTCCTTTGCATTTACATGACTGAGAATATCATGATGAGATTCATGTGTTGGCCTGTCCAACTAAGACAATGCTTGCTTTACCTTCCCACTTCTGTGCAACTTTTTGTTACCATCAACTGCACAGTACCGTAAAATACCGGGGTAGCGCCAACTCCACTTTCAATGAAAAATTAGTTAATCTAAACATGGGCGCTTGTCCGGTCAAATTGGACGCTAAAGGTATAATTGGCATAATTCCCAAATTTGGAAAATGTTAATACCGTATTTACCGTAAAGTTCCGAAAGAACGCCCACTTAGAATGAAGAGATAAATGGTGAAAAACATAAGGTGGGCTATCTTTGGGGACCCCACAGCAAAACTCTATCAAAAGCCGGCTACAAACTACGCGGACACCGCAAATTCGCGTTTCACGATGCGATAAACACGCGGGAACCCGCTACATACTTGCCTGTCACAGGAACCGATATTGCGCGCGCAGATCCCGGACAAAAAGGCAGGAATCCGCTACAAAACTCGTATGTTACGGGAACAAATACCGCAGATCGCGAACGCAGCAAAATCGTATTTCACGATGCGATATAGTACAGGCGGGACCAACTCGCGTGGAATCGCCAACGCAGATCGCGGACAAAAACGCGGGGATCAGCTATAAACTCGCTTGTCTGACATGCCGGTACAGCGAATTGCGCGGTTGATGCGATTCCCGTAGGACATTGCGTGACGTCCGACAGAAATCGGGGATGGGCGATGTTTCGGAATTTTTATGTTACCGATATTTAGCCAGAAAAACGGGATGGGCGACCTCTCGGGGGTGGGCGTTCTCTCGGAACTTTACGGTACTCACATAATGTACACCTTTTTCCCCGAAAAATTACACATATTTGAGGGGTGCGTTCATTACGCGCGGTAAAATTTTTGCATCTACACACTTCATGCAAATGTCATAATAGGTGCCAATATGACACGGCAAGGTACTGTGGCACGTCTCCACTGATAAAGGTGCACCCACAGCTGATCGGGGGCGTGCCACAATAATCATGCTTTATAAATTGCATGCCTTTTGCCAAAGGAAAAGCGCCCTACGAAGCTCACTCAGCACGGAGAGCTATGCAGCCGTTCTTAGGTCTAACCACTTTCACGATTTCACTGCGTGAAAGCAGACTACAGACGAAAGTGTGTTTGTTGACATCAATGCATGTGATAGGTGAAGAACATCCGGAGCTGGGTAATTCCTCGACCCAAGCTTCGTCAAGTGTACGCGCCACTCAGTTTCACGGTTGATCACTTCTGCAACTACGCACTTGCAGCCATTACAAGAGCGGTTTGGCTTGGCTTGACTTGGCCTGACCGCTTGGCGGCAAAAGAAAATTGGGCTGGTGGGCTTGGTAGCTAGCTAAGTTGGACGCAATTCGAGACTCGCGGAGCAAACAATTGGAGGTGCGTTCATTACGTGAGGGAAAATAAAGTTGAAATATTTGTACTCCTTGTGAGGGGTGCATTCACTATGCGAGTGCATTCATTATTTTATTATGCGAGTAAATACGGTAGTGGGTGCTTGAACGAAGTGGGCGCTTCCACGATATGGTAGGTTTGATTCCCTCAAACACAAAACTAGCTGTTTAGTTGCTCGTGGATGCACTAGACACGGCACAGCAAGGCGCTGATAAGTGAAGGACAGTATGAAATGCTGTGAATGGTTATTTTATGTATGGAATTAAAGATAAGCCGAAATGATAGAATGTTAGAATAGAATAATTTTGAGCACCCGATTTGATGTTTCATTCAAGTTCTGAAGGTTGACTGCAATTCTTTAGTCAGATAAGAAACAAAGCTTTTTTTTTTAATATTATGACTATCAATTATATGTTTTAAAAGTAGGAATTTATTATAAAAAAGAGCAACATATAAACAGTAAATACGCCTTTTTAAAAGCAATCCCAGCAAACGGATTAGCGTTTTCTGCAAGCTTCCATCCACTGCTCTAGCTAATTTAGTTTAAACTTACTCTAGTGACCGCACCATCGAACAGTTGGGACCTTCATAGAGGTAATAACTAAAGAAGAAGGATGACACAAAAATAAATCTACAGAGCAGTTCATACACACCCGCTTGTAATATTTAACTATCCTTGCAAAATTTCTAATTTGAGAAAGATATTGTCAGATGTCAGAATATTGCAATCTATCATATATACTAACCGTAGGTTTATTCAGATATTGTGTGCAATGTCCCACTTTGGAGAATTGCTTTTAATTTAGCCCGTGGATGTGCTATGGAGAAGCAAGAAACAAATGTAAAATCGCGATGCCTGCTTTATGGTTGTCGCTTCGCTGTGATATACCAGTGCACGGTGAGAAGCACCCTCAACAAGGCTAACCAACCCACCAGAACACACCACAAATAAGAGAAATACATATTGTGCAACTTTCCAGTACCGTCACTGTATGATCCAAAGAACAAATTGAATCATTGAAAGTTCTGAAATTTGCACAAGCCTACCACAACGATCTGGTATTATAGCTATTATATTACAGCTATTATATCTTCAGCGTAAATAAAGTGAAATAAAGTTTTGGTGCAATGTTGGTGCAAATGCTTCACATCCTGGCAAAATGTAGCAGGATGAAGCAGGCTAACTAGCTTCGTGCAATTTGGCACAGCAATCACATCCCTGTACTTGCAAAAAGGAAACGAGACTTGATAATTTATTTGCAGAATAAGTGCTCCTACCTCTCCTCGTGTACTTGACATCCTTCAAGAGATTCTTGATACCTTGTACAAAGTACTTGATGTTGTAGAGTTTCAGAGCCAAGGATGCCTGTGCCAGCAGAAGCATGAACATGGCACCTCCTCAAACATTTTATACCCCTAAATAACATATTTAGTTTGACTGACTGTTCAAGAAGTACAAACAAAAACTGTGACACATTCTTCATACCTCAATCAGAGCAGTCCTGATGTAGGGTGCATTCTTGACAAGTTTGCTGAAAAGTACCAGGAGCATAAAAAGATGGTTCAAGACATGAGAGTTTCTTGGAAACTTAAAAAGTATTGGCATTTAAACGCGTTAAAGCAGTTAGGCAAGTAAAGTAGCGAGGTGCTGTTAGGCAAGTGCTCCACCAAGTGAGGTGAAGTAAGATGCAAGAGCAAGTATAAGGCATGGTTAGGCAAGTAAGTAAGCACTGAAACAACAAGATCTTTCAGTGGTATTCGAGATCACATTGCATCACACTTAGAAGCCGCTCTATAGTAAATCCAGTGAAACTCACCCTTTGTCGGAGGATGCGTAGGCAATGCACATGGGCCGTACAAATCCTCTTGCCTTGGGGTCGAGCATGACTGAGTAGTTGACAAAAATATGAAGGTTGTCTCGTATGCTTGGCATCAGCATTTGGCTGTCGAGCTTCGGGAATGTCGAAGAGCTAGAAGATTCCCATGGCCACCAAACATGCCTGATTAGTCAGGAATAAAATGCAACTTGGAAGACTGGGAGTTGAGTTAATAATGCAAAAGATGACCAGCTACACAAGTGGGCCCAGTTGTAAGAACTAGAAAGTCTCGCAAACAACAATTACTACAGTTAGAGAGCTTTCAGCTGCTACGACGTATACTTGTAGTGACAGAAAAGAGCCGTCAAAAATACACTAAAAACGGAAGTTTTCGCTTCGTCAAGACAAGAGGAGACACTGCCATGTTCTGGCTAGAAGTCGTCACCCCGAACAGTTTGACAACCCTTGGGTGATACCAGCTGAACAAAGGAACGGGGATGACAGGAGAAAAGAATGGCAAACCGACCGCTGGACTACCAACTGTTTTATTACATCTTCCTCTTTTTCTGTTAATTGTGTTCAGCTGGTTTCACCCAAGATGTATCAGAACCAATTAGCTCAGCTTATTTCCTTAGTAGGTCTGACAACCTCTCCACAATAGCAAAGCGTTCACCATGTCTCCCAACGATGCGAGTTTCAAAACGTTTTGGGTGCATGCCAGGCAGTCTTTAATGTGGAGTACAATCTGGTGATACAATGCTTCTAACGATGATGCACCCTCAAGATATTCACACAGACGATCAGTGATGTGACATCCCATTTGCTCTATATACTCAGCACCTCTTGTCAATGAAATGGAATAGGGTCTTTCTTTGGCACACTCGATAAAGTGAGTACCATAATTTTTTGCACAGTGTGGTGGGAGACCATTGGCAGTAATACATTTGCACATCTAGTTTGAATCCGTAGTCAAAGACTACTTTAGTTCGATACCTCGATGCAAGAGACTCGATATGGTGTGCTGCATTATGCATGTAAGAAATACCGTATTTACTCGAGTAATAGCCGCACTATTTATGAACAAGGCCCTTGCTTCTACTTTCCTGCAAAGCAAATATACAGCAAATCATCGTGTTCCGCATAAATAACTTAGCGAATAACCAGATCGAGAACACGATTCTCCATACAAATGCAATCTTCATAGATAGTATCTTCGCGCAAAGACGTTATCTCTGCACTGTAAACCGCTGGAGTCATGCTGTCAATCACGGTGACTGGCGATCCGAGTGCTCCGTGGAAAAGCAAACCCTCAGGTTTTCTTCATAAAGAGTGCGGCTACTGTCAAGACCGGTTATAACGAAGTCGGTTATAACGAAATAGTGTCTACAGCGAAACGATCACGATTTTCCATTATTTTGTGCCGGTTATAACGAAATAGCGGATGTAGCGAAGTGATTTCCGATTCCCTTTGACTTCGTTACAACTGGTCTCCGACAGTATTACTCGAGTAAATACGATACACACTGTTCTGCATGCTGTCGCAGGTTAAGAAAAGCAGGGCAAGCACCTCCTGCAAAGCCCTCCACTCTTCCCACTTTAGCGAGAAAACGCTGAAGAGGTGACGAGTGGACTCAGCTCCTCTCTCACCTCGTTTCCAGCGTCTGCTCGCTAAGGTGGAGAGTAGAGTGCTTTTTGGGGCGGAGCTTGTCCTCTACTACGGGCAGCCACAAGCTGCAGACGTTTCCAGGGAGAGGAATCCTTAGAGTGTCAAACTACCACTTATTGCAATAAATTGGTGAAGTGAGAAAGGCTTTTAGAACAATTATGCAAGTTTCATCTGCTTAGAAAAATAAAGGACATTGGCACCAAACACCATAAAACTTTAAATGATAAAGTGCATACAACTAGAAAAGGAAATCCATCCTCTATTTTGTTTTATATTAGTGTCCCCAAAAGAGGAGAGCCCTTCCTTCACAATGACAAATAAAAAAGAAAGAGGAGTGGGGTATTTTTTCCTATCCTGAAAATTACTTTATATGTCATGCTTGAATTTAGAAACTCCAGACTTGTACATCCTAGGTGTATTTCACATGCCTATAAAATCCTAAAACGTCAGAATAAATTAATATTAGATGGAAATTGACTTGCATCCACAATACATTTTGTCTGGGTCCAGCCAAATATCCCAAATATTTTTATCGACTTTTATGTGCATTTCTATGTTGGCCATTAAAATGTCAATGTCCATGGATAAACTGTCTGTTGGTATACACGAGCTAGTGACTATTTCGACGTCCACCGTCAAAATATGTTTAAAATTATTTCAACGTCTCTGACGTCACTTCCATAAAGTGACAAACTAGCGCCTTCATCAGGTTCATTATTTTGACGTCCCCCACCCCCCCGCAAAACATCCATCGCAATGGTAGTTGTTTCATGCTTTTGTGTTTCATCGTTTCATTCTGTTTAGTTTCTGATGGTGGTGTCGGTGTTGTGTTGACATGTTGACGGAGTCATCTGTTGGTGCCAAATAAGTTTTGGTCCTAGCTGGCAGTGGAAATCTCTTAGGGCCCGTTCACACTCTTGCGACCGACTTCGACCGAGAGAGACCAGACCGGTTTTTAAGCCTTTTGTGACTTCTTAGGACAGAATGCGATGCTGCGGTGCTGGTCCTAAGAAGTCGCAAGAGGCTTAAAAACCGGTCTGGTCTCTCTCGGTCGAAGTCGGCCGCAAGAGTGTGAACAAGCCTTTATTCAGCGTGTGTGAGACTGGCTCGACAGCTGATAATTTCAAATGTGACATGCCCGGCAGCATTGTTCTGAGCTCTTGCACATCATTTCAGAAAGCGTCCTCCCTAAATTTTTTTTAATCTACAACAAAGGTGAGCTGTAATACCTCTGTCTTGCCTGCACATAACAAATGTAAGTGTGTGCACTACATAACACAGAAATTTGGAATGCTTTTCATGCTTCCCTATCGTGCAAGCACGTCTTCATATGGTTGCTATCTCGGTATCTGGCTCCCGCCTTGTTTTTTAACCGGGTTTCGTGAGTTTGGTGTTTAGTCTAGAGTTTTGTTTTCTTTCATGTATAACGAGCGGGTTAACTATGAAACAATCGAAATGTTAAATAAAAAGCTGGGAATGCAAACATTGCCTCCGTGATGTTTCTTGACCAGTGCGAACAACAAACGTTCTGGCACGGTTGTACGAGATACACGCATTTTCCAATCAACTGCAAATTTCATGACACAAGATTTAGCTCCTTTGTCTATATCAGGGGTTCTCAAACTGGGTTCCGGAGAACACAGGGGTTCCACGAGCTGGTCTCATGGGTTCCGCGAACACCCAAACTGCAACCCCCCCTCCCCCTCTCACCCTCTCCCCCCCCCTCCCCTCCCCTGCCGCAGGCTGCGCGGCAGGACCATGCAAAGCGCCTTCATTTCACTTTGTACTGACATCGCGATTGATAAGGTGGGGATATATGAGAAACCACACAAGCAAAATTGCCTACAATTGTGCATCTATTGCTTCTCGGTCGGCAAATATAGATAGGGGGGGGGGGGGTTCCACGGCAGTCTTTGAGGCTTCCTGGGGTTCCGTAAGACCAAAAAGTTTGAGAACCCCACGTCTATATGAAGACGTGAAATAAATCCTGAAAAGCAACAGTGTTGCATTCTGTAATGTTGGGCACAACCAAGCAAGCGTTATGTGTGGCCTGATAGCTCAGGTACTTTGCAAAGTTTTTTGCATTCCATATCACTTAAAAGGTCACAATAACTGCAGTCGACTGCACATTTGTTTTCAGAAAGTGTGTCTTGAACCGCAATGCCGCCTGCAAGCAAGATGGTATATTTTTGACCACCACTTTCAATCACTTTCCAGTCCGAACCGTCCAGCCTCCGAAGCTCCAAAGTTCTAAGTTTGAGATGTCAAAATAAGAGGAAACAAACATTTCGACTGGGGACATCAAAATGATTTTGAAAATATTTTTGTGTCTTTAGGAAGTGGCGTTAGAAACATCAAAATAATATTGCAGATTATTTTTCAAATTATTTTGAAAGTGGGCATCGAAATAGTCGCTATCGCTAGCCTTACGCAACCCTAGGCACTTGTTTGGGACAAGGCTTATCTGCCACTAAATGTTATCGGCCAGAACTCACGTTAAACCAAGTTCACATGTAAACAAGCCTAGAACTGGTTTAGACATGCTGTTTCTCGAAGATAACTTGCATCTGAAGGCAATGGCAAAAAAATATAAAGGTGTTTGTGCCTTATTACAGCGGGTACACAGCACTTTCAATAACTATAGAGACACTTTTTATCTAGCATAACGCCAGATGGTATATCTATCATTATGTAGTGTGGCAATTTGGCTTCGTAACTCTCTTCAAACCATAACGAAACACTCACGCTCCTACTTGCTGGTAGTCAACCGAGAGGATGCTAATTACGAGGGAGTTGATGTCAATGTGCTCCATTCTCTCCCCCACATCATGAGGTATGGTGACCTGGAAAACAATGACAAAATAATGCATTACAGATATGCTTAAAAGCAACAACAATATTGGCAGTAAAACCACCTTCATCACAATTCTTCAGTCTGCATTACAGAACAAGCCAACAAAAGGATAATTGCGCTTGTCCCTGGCATTGTGATGTACAGAGACGGTAGCAACATTTGCCCTTTCACAGCAGGTTCTGTAGCAGGCTAAATATTGGTTTAGAACAGCCACTGATGCTTTTGGAGCAGATGCCAACATCTGTTAGCACATCGCTTGAAAATGAAAAAGTGATTGCATCATTAAATGAGTTCATATTTGATGGTTGATGGTGCCTCTTTGATAGGATACTGAAGCATATTACTTATTACCTTTTTTTAATAAAAATCAACAGGGTACAAAAGGAACATAGAATTTTTTTTTTTTTTAAGAGATACGGCTCTGGTCAGAGCAGGTTCCATTAACAATGGGCACTAAAATATTGATGAAAAATAACTCATAGTGCAACATTTCAGATGGGATAAGGTCTCTCTCCCCTTCCACTTTCACACCCGGTAGTTTATCTAGTCAGTAAACATAACTTCTGTACAACCCGTCCCTGTGTAAGTGTTCTTTTGTTCAAGCTGTTTTCCTACCTTCTGTGAGCATTTACCATCCAGCTCGACTCACCCCAATACGTCTGTAGAAAGCCAGCAAAAAGCACCATACCCTCTACCAGCTCTATCAATAAAAATGTGTGCCCCAAGTTTTATGAACCTACCACCCACAAATATCAAAACAACCATCCGCAAATATGATAAAAACATACACTCGCGCTTTTGCAGCTTTTGAATCAGAGTTAAGTCAAAGAATGCTGCTCTTTCGATCGACAGCTGCACGGAAACAACCTTGACTACCGTGTTTATTCAAATATAAACCCCATGTTTGTTTTTTTTCTCTTTCTCGGTGCAGCTTTTTTAAAATTATAGATCAACCTACAATCAAGACTAAAGAAGGCAGGCCTGCAATTGTAATGATCTTAATTTCCGAGCCTATCACGCTAATCCAGGTGCTCGCCCATGTCAGCTGCCGCTCCTAGCACTCCGGTGCAAAGCGGGGAAGCCCGACACGCGTGCGCTGGTGAGAGGAGGCACGGAGGCATGCAGCAGACACGACAATCAAGCGATCTCATCAGGAGTACAAGACCCTGGTTCTGTCTTATCACAGTAGTCGCCATCCTATTACTAAGCAATGCTTTCTCGTGACTTTTAACTCTTGACATTACCGACATCGTCTGAAAATTTAGACGACGTCAGCCTGCCAGTACGGTCAACGAATCTCTTTGCTTTGCTTCACCTTGATCGTAAGTGCAGCCGACGCTACGAACCAATGGGAAAAACCAAGCAGCGTCAAAACGCGACATCATGGCTTTCGTGCATCTTCCTGTATGTGTTCTTTCATCGACTAAGTCAAATGAAGCGAATGTCCCGTGACTTGCGTTTTTAGTGCGTGTCCGTTGTTGCATGTTTTCGAGCCTTCGACTGTGCTCCGGTCTAAATTAAACAAACTAGTATACGGTGTGTAGAGATGCTGTGAAATACTTATTTGTACCATCTTCTTTTCCGCCTGCTTCTGTCAATATTAGAACCAACCAATATTAAAACAAAACTTATTTTGCTTTGCTCAAGCTTATTTCGGAGCAGGCCTGGCACAAATCTTAGCAAAAGTGGCACTTTGGTGCTAGATGTAGCAGAATTTCATTGATGGTGCGATTTGGTGCAAATGGTGCACTCCTATCACTGGATTTATCATATTTTCCAGCGTAAAGTCACTTTTTTTTTTTCTTCTTTTGTGTTTTTGTACATTGATGCGTTTGTGTTTTTTACTTTAGGTATGGACCTTAATTGTGCAAATTCGCCGGGGGGGGGGGGGGGGTATATTTCTTTTTGAGTTTGTTGACGAGAATGCTGAAACTTGTGCACATATCGCAATCACAATACACATTTGCAGGCTTATCGTTTCAATTTCGCCGCGCCAACCGTACAAAGATATAAATGCGACTTACACAAAGCACAGAGTTACTATACTGTAAGCAAGGGGTTCAACTAACGCCTATGTTGCTGTCGCAAATTGAAGCAGATAGCAACCAGTCGAAAATTGACTTCCGGTGGTAATGCATTTCTATGGGAAAAAGTGAGTGTATTTTCTCCCTGCGCTTGGTTATAAGAGCAAATATTCCGAATAATTCATTCATACTAGCTAGGTAGCTTAGAACATTTCTCAGTCAGGCAGATGAAATAATTGGTTAGTGAAGGCTTTTTTCTTTCAAATTAATTGCATTAAAAACGGTGTGAAAACAGCCTCATATATGTATTTATGTGCAAAGTCGGACACTGTTAGCACAAACACGACGTCGGCGCTTTTCAGCATGGGGGATATACCGTATGTGCCAAACAAATGAAGGACACCTGGAAAACCAAGAGAGACGGCAAGAACTACGCAGTAACACTGGATCAATAACTCCCTGTGCATGTACAATCAAAATAAATTGAAGACCACGTTGTACAGTCAGATTTTAAATAAGTAAGCGCAGCATTATTCTTTCTGCTCTGTGAAGAGATGCTTGCTCTACGTTCAAAACATTACCCGCACACTCAAAATCTTTGAGAACAAGTGCCCGATAAAAGCTGCCCGGCATAGAAAAAAATAAAAAGAGACACCTTTCGTAGCCCAAATACTTTATTCTTTATGTTTTGAATATTTTTAACCGCTCATAAAGATGCAAAACGGGGTCATTTTCATATGGTTACAGGACCGGCATATTAGCAATATATAAGCATCTCCGGAATGATGGCAAACCTTGAACACACTCTTTATTCCTTTTGATTGTTATTTTGCCTAGAATAGTCGCTCGTTTTTACACATCTGCTGTGGAACACAGGTTTGGGCCTGAAATATAGCGAAGTTAAACATTGTTCACTTATGAAGAAAAATGTGCTAATTAAAGCAATTAAATTTTCACAATGTTAATAAAGGTACATACTATCCGGTATGATACCAATAACAAAAGTGTTCCATGTTATTTTCCAGCGAAGAAAAAAATTGCAAATGCGGTTTTCCATAGGAGTGCACAGGAGCACCGCAAAAGTAGACCGGTTGCTGTCTGCCTCAATATGCATTATGGAAGTCGCGTAGATTCTAGCGCCACTTGAACCTCTAGCATACATTATAATAACTCTATAATATAAAGGTGCGATTTATAGACCAGAAAATACATCATCCATTAATAGCCTGGTGCCTGGTCCTTTGAGAAGCACTGAATTTTCTGGTCCATCGACAGATAAAAAGCAGCTTTTTGGCAGCCCGAGCAATCTTTTTGAGTACTACTTGGCTGTGATGTTCAGGCGTAAAAAGGTTGCCAAAAAAGTGTAGTTGACATCTCTGAAAACGGTGAATAATACGGCACCAATTGCTTCTCTGTGCGATGCATCATATTCACAGGAAAATTCTGACGTCTTTTAGTGAAGCATCCGGTAGATGTCAGCACATAATCCGCACAAACTGCTGTTTCTTTCTATATGGTAATTTATAATTTATACTTACAGCAACACAATCATTAAGACATGTAAGAAGGAACATCAGTTGAAGACACAGCACTTAATTGCTAAATGTGCAGCAACAATCAACCTACAGCTTGTGTTTAGGTGTTATCTAGTCAATCATTCCTGTGTCTCGCTCATGGCACACTTTGAGAGCAAGCTAGCAAGGGCTCGTATCAAAACGCCGAACTTGTAGTTCCTTAGGGCAATTAATATGAATGTGAACGTCGACGAAAATACTCTAAGGAATGCGTCTCAATAGAGTGACAATCAAGAGAATTTAAGAGTGACTTGGAGGGAAACTAGTCACGCAATCAAACCGCACAGGATCTTAAACTGCTCTATGGTGGTGTTGAAGTTGCACTACTTCTCACCAGCGGCATCGGGCCATGAACTTCGTTGCACTCAGCAATGAGAATGAAGTCGTTATCCTCGTCGACGAAGGGATTTTCCTCCTGGGAGAACAGCATGCCGCTCCAGTCGTGCTGAATCGCTTCTTTGCTGACGGGATCGTCGTCCAGGTCCAAGAACACGTCCGCATGCTGGAGGACTTCATCGTCTCGGTTGACGTAAGCCCGGACTTCCGAGTAGTGTCCGAGCATGCTGCCTGAGGTGTAACGCGAAGACATCACCACTCTGAAAGCTGTCTCCTAGCTACGATCAACAGAAACTCATTTTTTCAGGTCGAACGGCTTTCCGGGCAAAGGGAGGCTCGTTGCACTGCCGATCCATGGACTACCCCAAAACACGCACACCCCCCTTGTTGATATACAATGGCCGTTACACTTTGAAGGTAAGAAGAAAACGAAGATCGCTAACTTCGAACGCATGCATGCTACCTTGCGCACGCAGCGCTACTCCTAAATAACAAACTTTGGAGTTGAAGAAAGCGCTTACAATCTTTGAGATGTCTCGTAGTCTTGTCGCAGTGACTTAAGATCGGTCGGAGATTGTTGTCAAAGGCGAGAGGTTTCCCACAGACCAACTCCGCGCAGTCCGACTTTTATAATAACAATATTACTAAAAATGCATTTTGGTGTAATAAGTTGCATCTTGTTCTAGCGCCATTTATGAAAATCCAGCAGATTTATTCGATTAAATTGTGTCCAAAACAAACCTCCAAGATCACCATTCGAAACGCGCAAGACGCTACTAAAACCTACCGGCGCTACCGGGACCGCTGATTTTCAGGGTGGCCGGACGTACATTTTAAAACCTGTCTTATTTGGCGAAATTGCACGTAAATCCAAAGAATTTCTTGCTTTTTATAGCTGCTTGTTTTATTCAGCCTATATACGCTTTGTCATTCCTGCTCAAGCGTAGAGGACCTAATAATATTTGCTGTTGCCTTTTAACGTTCCTGTGTGACGTCCTGTGGCCCTGTGACGTTGTGGCTCGCGCACAGCAACGCAGGAATGGCCATGGTGAGGTATCTTCGGATACCTTTATAACCTGTCTGTTGAAGGTCAGCGTTTCCATAGGTTCCCACGCTGATAAGGATGACCACCGTGCCAGCATCTGTGGTGAGGGATGGAAGGGCTGTGCTCTATAAGATCAAGGGATTCCACAGGAACCGAAGGATTGCTAACCATTCATGTCGATTTTGCAGAGATGCTTCTGGCCTTTTGGATCTTGATTTTGCTGGTACCAACTGCGAACTCCAAAACAGACATCGACCAGATACCTCTAGGAATAAAGGTAGGCAGAATAAAACAAAACAAAAATCGAAAGTATATTTAAATATTTACCTCAAAGTCAAGCCCGGGCTACGTTTTGCACTCGGTCGTGCATTCAACACAAAATGACAAGAGGACTCGTTGTTCTTCACGAGTTTCCAATGTCGTACGGATGCTGGTGCTTCTATGTGAGGTGATTAGGCTCCCGGTCATAGGCGTAGACTACGGGGGGGGGGGGGGGGGGGGGGGGGGGCGAGGTTGGGGGGGGGGGGGGGGGGGGGGCAAGCAGGGTGGTTAGTTCTGCCTATTATAAGCGGATTTGAGCTTCTTTTTTCACCAAGTCGCTGTTAGATTTTTCCAGTCGCTTGTCGCGTTTTTTGGGCTTATTCTCGTTTTTCCAGCAAATATTGTAATTTTATTGCTCGTCATGCTCATTGACAGCGCGTTTGTCGTAAAAACGCGAAAAACAGCATGACCGTTTGGCGCCGCGGTTAGGTGGCACAAGCTACCGTCCGTCACAAAGTACAAAACAATTACTATCCATTCACAAATGTTTTGGCACCTTGCCCATCTTGCCAGTCAGCAGTCACGGTCGTCGCACTGATCTCTATGACATGTACAATTGCTGGATCGCGCTTCCCCGCTTGTTCGCTGCAGCCAAGGGAGTAAAGGTGGGTGAGGAGGAGTGGCAAATCCCGTGCGCCGACACCCGGGGTCCCGAGTGAACGATCGCAAAAGAGAGCGACAGAACACGAGAGAAAGAAAGCAACGTTGCCATGGTAAACGCGAAGAGTGAAAACTCTCAGCAATATAAACAGTGATAATTTAACGTTGTAAACTAAATTCTGAGCCATTCCCACGCTTATAAAAAGCAATAAAGTCATTACGCTGCATTAACTTCCCTTCTGCCGAAATCTCGGAAATCTGGTGGTTGCGCAGTTTCGTATTCCTCAACCGCGCCCACCCACGCCGCACCGGCGAAGCCAGGGGGTAAAGG